TAAAAACCAAGGTGAAACTTCTAGAATGATACATAGGAAACCATTAACAGTGGTTCTCTGTAGGACAGAAATCAAGTGACTGAAGGATGATGGGAGACTTACTTTTCTCTATATGCTTTTGTACATTTTGAATCGTTTACGATGTGTGTAGATTACCTATTCCAAAGGAAAAAAGTGAATTAAAATAAGTGAAAATAAAATAAATATTCCAAATTTAACTTGAAACTGTCAATATTGAATATTCCTGTTAAAAGTGCTTCTTCTTAAAACTTCTAAAGGGAAACAAGCTCTGCTGTTTAAAAAAGGCCCACCTTCCTCCACTCCAGCATTTCAGTATCTGTGTATAATTGCTTTAAGGATTGGGTAAGCATGCATGAGTGGGAGTTAAAAATGCATTTAATCATCTCCATCCCAGGTTTGACAGAAGAGTGGTAAAGAGGGCCATCTGTTTTGTTTGAATGAGAAATGACCCACCATTCTGATTTCAATTAGCCTCTTTGTAGCTTTGTGTCTGAGCTGCTTCCTGGGGACCAGTTCAAACTAAGTGTAGAAAGGAGTTGGCCAAGTTCTGTTAGTGCTGATTTGTTTTAGTGTATAAGAAGACAACGTCATTGGATGCACATTAAGATGTGCAATTTTATGAAATCAAAATAGCATGTTCTGGAATTTGACAGCTAAACAAAATGTTAAAAAGGTATCTTTAAATCACCATATCAATTTATATACTTAAAATCAGTATCATTTATAATCTAAATCCCTAGTTCCAGTCAACAAACATGTCTACTGCACACAAAGTACTGTTATGCCCTGGGCATGAACCAAATATGATAGAAGTGGTGGATTCTGCCCTAAAGAAGTTTGTGCTCTACTTGGGAGGATGAGTCTGAAAAGTTTAACAATAATTTGAGTAATATTTAAGACAGCAATAGGAGTGCTGTCAAACATTAGTATGTAGCTAATTACTAAGAGTTCAGAGGATGGAAAGGAATTACTTTGGCCAAAAGTTTTATATTGGGAGAGCAGGACTGAAACACATGCCATTGAACTGTAAAGTCAGTGTCCCCTCAAAATCACCCTTACTCACATTTTACACACACACACACACACACACACACACACACACTGGGCAGAAGGTTCACAAAGGTGGGTGCACTGCCTCTAGAATTACTAAGGGTAACCCCAAGATGCATCACTACATTGGTGAAGGTTCAAAGTCACTGCTGTGGCTCTAGGAAAGCCAGATTAAACCTTGGCTCTAGTTGTCACTGACTTCCAGGATGTGTTTGTCAGACACCAGATTCCTGGGCCCTCATCTTGCACAGGTTGATTGCTCAATTCTTTGATATATTCATGTAATGGTTCTTAAGAAAGTCTTGTGAATGGGAGCCATTTTTGATGACAGCTAGTTTGGGTATGTCAGTAATAACTGACTCACACCACCCACTGTACTCATGTGTTCCCAGTCCTTACCATCTGGTTCCTTGATGTCCTGAAAAAAGATTCCATCTCCTTGGTTCTGTGGCTTCATCATTTTCTCAATCATACCCCCTCTCCTCAAGGAGTTGGCAAAGTTTTTCAAACTTACATCATACAAGGCAGAGGAGTAGAAGTCTGGGAGGTGTCCTCTGAATCCTGGTGGTGGTGGCCACTGAGTACAAACATGGCTCAGCGGCACTTTCATGGGATGGGTTCTGAGTCTCCAGCTCCTTCCACCCAGCACTTCTGAAGCAGAAAACTAGTGTGGCTAACTCTAGTTGTACCACCTTAGTTTTGTGGCTGGACATCAGATTGTCCCCGTCAACATGCTACATCATAACTTGTAGCATTAGCCAGAAAAGCCTTATTCATTATTCACTCTGACCCACACCTTTATGTTTTTTGTTTTTTGCTAATAATGATAACCAAAAACATTTAGCTTATATTTAGGAAAAAATAAAATTCAAATTCTATGTAAATAATGTCATTGTAAGGTATTAATAAAAACTCACTTTTAAAAAGTGAATTCAATCTATCATTTTTTACTTATAGCTATTATATTTTTAATTCTTTTCTGAGAAATGAATGACCTATTTATTTATCCTGACCAATACATTCATGTGGCCCAGACTGCTTTTTTGCCAAACATATCTGAAAGAAATAATAGAATCTTTTGGAGCTTGTGTTTTCTTACTTACAAAATAATACATTATTAATTAGAATGCCAAATATCAGCAGGTCAAAGAATGGAAAGGAAAAGAAGATACTTTTGTTTAAAGAAAGGTATGAAGTTCAAATAAGCAAGCTGAAGAAATCCAGTAGAATTTCAAAAGCTACAGGAAATGTGTGGAAATGATGATTTTTTAGTGTTGAGACTTCAAATCACATTGAAGGAGAAAACACATCAGTAGAAGAAAACAGGCTTTGGTTCTATCAAAGTAAAAATACCTGGCAAAGCAAAGCAAAGCATTATTTTCTGCATACAATTCTCATTGTAGGCATGATGTAGCCACCATCTATTCTAGCTACAGGAGAAAAATACAAATAAGAAAATAATATATTTCTTTATGACATATATTTACATATTGATGATACCAGAATATCCTGCCACCCATAGGCAGAAGCTGAGGAATTCATTCTGTTAACAGAGGTTATTTATTGTGTTCATTAAAAAGCCAGCCTTTATAAAGCCTAAAGTTAATAATTTAAAAAAATCTTTAAGACTTACATTTTATAATTTTTAAAGTGTTTTGTGACTTGTAGTATTGCATAATCTTAGCTAGTATATGCGACAGTATGAGGAATTGAAAGCACAGATTTAAGGTATTTTCAAGTCAGAACAAAGGAACCAGATGCTCATTTATGACCACGCAGCAACTTCTGGGCTGCACTATGCATAAGCTTATATGTGCCCTCATATGGTATGATAGACACAGAAAGGTCTACATTCACTTCCCCCAAACTGTCTCATTACTTAAATAGCACTCTTTCCAGCCACTCCTTACAATTAAAGCTCTGATTATATACCACAAAACTTAAAGTGCAAATGTTAAACAGCATTATTAAGATTATATGTTGACATTGTTTAGATGGTCAAATTAGCCAAGAGTTGGGACATTGACAAGATGACATAACTAAATTCTGAAATGACAAGGAAAAAAATTCAGAAAACACATGACTGCCTTCTATGTTCATGGTACCATGGCAACCAAGATAAGAAAGGTAGAGACCATGTTCCAATGAGCTTACTTATAATCTTAGTGGAGGGCCGAGAGAAACCTGATAAACGACTACACTGTAAAGTATGAAGGAAGAGATCTTTACCAATGAGGGCTTAAAAAACAAGGTTTTTTGGAGAGAGGGGAAGGGAAGGGAAAAAGAAAGAGAGGGAGAGAAACATCAATGTGTGGTTGCCTCTCAAGCGCCCCCTACTGGGGACCTGGCCAGCAACCCAGGCATGTGCCTTAGACTGGGAATTGAACCCTCGACCCTTTGGTTCATTGACCCATGCTCAATTGGCTGCGCTATACCAGCCAGGACCCAATGAGGGCTTTTAAAAACTTTTCCAAGCAGCTGAAGTTCACTGGTTTTCTGAGCAATTCTGGTCATATCAGAAGCAGGACTTCTACAAACTTAGCCCAGAAGCAGCCCTTTATCTTCCAAGGTATCATTCTTCACAAGTGTTCAGAAAAGCACAGCCGTGGGGCTCAGAACACTGTTCTCTTTCTGGCACATACTCAAACTAAGGAAAAGACTACTGAGATTCTGACCAACCACCTCCACATGCAGTAACCAGAGTACTTTTATCCCAAAGAATGTCCTAAACATATTATGGCAATGAGGCCAGTTCTTGCACTGCATTTTTCACCACTGGTCTTGCCTTTTCATACCCTCCTTCTACATCTTTCCCACCTTCTAAGTCTTTTCCTTTAATACTTTTATTTTTCCAATTTCCTTTTTATTGCTTAAGTGTGAAATATGGTTGCTACAAAGTGTCAAGAAAAAGAAAATAGATTACATCAACACAGTAAATTGGCTGTTTTAATCACTAAGCTAATTGTTCACTGAAAAAAAAAAATTGAAGGAACTTAACTTTGACCAACGAAATTAGCCTAGGGTCTGAATCTGGAGTTTTTATAAAACCTTTATTATGTAGTCAACCAGCCTTTCTCAACACTACCTTAACAATATGATATATAAAACACTGAATATACTGCAAGAGGTATATAAAATAAATTTGAAAGAAACTTTTCTATTTTAAATATTCTATGTCAGAGTTACAAATAACTAGAGTTCCTTCACTCTTGAAAACCAACAGGTCAGTCTTTTTATAAAAAGGTTATCAACATAAAATTATTGAGTAAGAACCCACCAACATCACGTGCACAACGGTGAGTAATTTTAGTTGTAAGTTTAATGACAGTATCTGATTTGCTTTCATAAGCAACAAGCACTTAGCCCCTAAAATACAAAATGAATATTCTCATAGAAATACGCAGACTAATGTTTCTGAAATCCCAAACTTCTATATTCCACATAAATGAATTTCAATTAATCAGACGTATGTGAAGGAAAATAGTGAAAAATAAAAAAGAAAGTTATTTAATCTAAGAAATAAAATTATGTGAAATCCAAATTAAGACAATGTAATTATAAAGTGGAAGATTTCTTTGTCATTGTTGATTATAAAAATTGACTTTTTACAACAAAAGTGCTGTATTTGGAAAAAAACAGGTCAAAAACGTAAAATCTTAAATGACAATGTAGTAGGGCCCATATCAACTAGACTTCCGTAATTCATTTATCACGCTAGAAATGCATGATTAAAATTTCCGTTACTATCTAATGGTGAAAATTTTAGATTTGTCACAAAGCCGACACTGGAATTTGATTTAGATCAAAACTCAGAAAGTGCTGCACTAACAAAAATCAGTAAAATTTGATAAAAATCATATAACTCATTTTAAAACACCATTATTTACAGATTCTCTTTGAATACAGAACAGGTAATGATTCAATGAAGATGTTTTTACAATATTTATTAAGATAACAAAATTTATAAATTGAAAGACTCAGAGGCACATAGTTTAAAAGGCCAATACCATGGGAATAATGAAGTCAACACAGAAAAGAAGGTATGAACAATCACAACCAATACAGGATTTTTTTAAATGCTTCCCCCCAATAAACACATCATACGAATCATCCTTCAAAATTACCATGATAAAAAGTTATTCCTTCAAAGAAAAATAATTCTTCCCACCTACTGAGCCTAGAAAATCCTATTTACAATGAACTGTCTGGCATTTCATCAATATTGTTTAATATGGCCTCCTCTATTACTGCCATTAGAAGTATTGAAAATTTTATAGCTATTGTATTTACAAATACACATAATATTTAAATTTGCTCTTCACTGAGAACAACTCAATATATACTTAATAAATCACAATACAAATGTTTTGGTGTTGAAAACATATTTTGTGGGGACAAGTATATGGAAAGAGGTGTATTTAGAATTATGTTGTTTCTGAAGGATTACTAGGCCAATGCTGATAAAACTCAAGGTAATCACAAAAAAAGATCTTTGATGATGAAGAATTTATTTCTGTTTTAACTGGACACACTGGGCTTCTTCAGTCAACCTTCACCACACTGTAAATTTTGGTAACAAACCAAAAGCATGCAAAGAAGCCAATTGTTCCTATAAAAGAAGAAAACAAAAATAAACCTTTTTTAAAAGCAAGCATCATAAGTTACACAAAAATACAGACTTAAAATGACTGATTCCTCAAAAAAAAGTCACAAAACTAAGAACTATTAACTTTCAGAAATATACCATAGATCCATGAGCTTTTTAAAAAAATATGCAAATATGTCAGGTAAAATTTCCTACAGAAATTGACAGAAAGAACTTTTTATACTGTAAGTTATCTAAGATTTCTATAATACATTTTTCTTAATACATGCAAAAGACTAAAATTAAAGGATGAAAAGAAAGACAATTTTCCTTTCCCATTTAAGAATATTTTCTTATCATAAAATGGAAAGTTGCTATTAAAATTAATTCAAGTTATGATATGAATAGCTTAAGCAGAGTATCAGATTCATAGACTAATTAAATTGGGATATTGTTACTGGGTGTTATGAGTTTTTGAAGAACTATAATAACATAACTCAAAAACTTTTTACAAAGTGTTAAGAGTGATATATTTAGGATAATAACAAAGATGTACCCCACTGAAAATAAGGGGTGGCGTGGTACCAGAGGACAGAGCAGCTCTGTAATGAGTTGTGAGCTGTGTGTAACATCCTTGGACTAGACCACTGAAATTTACAAGCCCATTTATCTTATTAAACAGTAATGATTTTATATGTCCTAGCTACACACAAAGACAGTCATAAGTAAAATAAGTAAATAAGATGATTCATAAAAAATATATGTCTTGATTTTCAGGTATCTTTATCAATCTAGATTCTAAAATATTTGAATGCTAGATGGGTGAAGCTCCAAGGGATTAAGTAATTAACAGCCCCATGGCTGGTAAGTAGGACCAGAACTCAAATTCCCTTTTTCTGACTTCAAGTATAGTACTCTTTTAAACTACACCATGCTAAAATTTAGTAAACATAAATTTAGAGATTCTGTTTTGCAAAAGGATATAGACTAAATTGTTAAACTGCTTAATATATTTTTAAAAACTAGGCATACCATTTTTTTCCCAGGATTACCCCCCAAAAACACTCAACAGGTGGGCATGCATAAGAATAGATGGGGGACATACATACTCCTTTTATAAGTTTTAAATTTAAAGTCTCAATGGTTTTCACCATCGTTTTAAATATAATATAAAGAAAAAGTACTAAAGGAGATTTTCTCAGTCAAGTGAGACGTTACTATGGGAAGTTATAAATGTTACTATAGTCATTCTTAAATCTTACGTGTACTGAGTACCTACTATGCACAAGTCACTGTTTTGGAGGACATATAGTACTGTTTGGATATTCAAAGGGTCATTACTAAGCTCAGCTTGGGAAGAACTTGGGGTTCATTTCAGAAAAGTCATGGTGAAACATAAATATATTTAAACAACCTAATGCTTACTAAGAACTTCAAGATAACAAAAAGGTATGTTAAAATGAGAAAAAACATTTTATCACCATACTGACAACCCTAACAAAGTTTAGTTTGTACTTAATAAAATACTTGTAAGTATTTTTTAAAATATGAATAGATATAATGTACATACTAGAAGTGACATCTTTCTTTATGTGACAAAATTTTGTTTTGTAACACAGATGAACTTGGATAAGGAGTTTGTAGTCCTGAAGTGACTATGGGTATGTAACAGGGTGCAGCCAAGGGTAGGCCCCAAATACGGATTTGTAATGGGGTCCAGAACTCAGGGCATTCAGGAAATATTAGAGAAAAATATACATATGGTGTCCTCACCCCCACCAGTCTGAGCTGGGGGATGGGACACAAGGAGCAGGGCCATTGAGAGCTGTTTTGCATAGCAATAGCTTTGCAGCTAATCTCTGGCATGGTCATTTAACATATCTATAGCCTTTAACTGGTTGCATAGATATGTTAAATAGCTGTGGCCTTGCTTTGAGCCAGGGGGATGGGAGGGACTTCAACCCAGGATGTGACTCCCCCTGGTTACAGTGCCTGAGTGAGAGCTTGGAGATGATTGGTTCCACTCCATGGGGCCATGCCTGCCTGGACTTACTATGGCAGCCCAGTAAAGATGGAAGAATAGGGAATGCTGGCAGGTATAACTGATTGTGGGAGGAGTTGGAAATGGGGCTGCAGAGGAAGACTGGTACAGGGATTTAAACCCAGGTACAGCAGCCATACCAGGAGTTGGGAATTACCATATGGCTTGGGCAGAGGTCAGGACCATGCAGCTTTGGAGAGTTGGGACCACACAGCTGTGGCAGGAGTTGGGACCATGCAGCATGGGTGAGAGTTAGGACCACGTGACTCTGGGGTACTCCCTTTTGCCACGTGGCTTAGGCAGCAGGAGAGACTTTGCCTGGAAGGAGTGAAAGGACTCTTGTTGGTGGGCCATGGAAAGGTGCCACATGCCTTTGAATTAACTGGAGATTGTGGTGGCAACACGGTGGATGGTGCCAGAACTGAGGGGCTGCCTGAACCATGGACTTCTACTTCTTTTCCTGAGATATGGTACCCCAGACTGGGAAAAGAGGGAGAAGGAAAGACTGTGTGGGTCTGTGGGTATTCTAAAGAACTTTAGTATTTTAATGAAGACATTAAGTCATTACTCTAAACCTGTATAACTTTTAAATAAATAATTTCTTTCCTTTTCACCAATCTTTGGCATTGAGAGACATCTTTTCTCTAGCGGCGGGCAAAGTGAACCTAGTCCGGCAGGGAATCCCCAGCGAAAAAGGGGGGGTCCTTTTGGTAATAGTATATTATTCACCCTCCCAACCCGGGTCTGTTTTGTAACAGGTATACTCCACTTTAGAAAACACCAATGTCCTTAGTCTGACCAATGACCTAGAATACAGAATTGATGTTCAAAACCCTACTTAGTTCTCTTAAATGTTAACAGGTAAGTAAAAGGTAGAATATTTCTAATTTTTAAAAACAGTTTTTCCCTTCTTGGCTCCTATATTTCCTCATATACCATGCACCACAACCTTACATAAATTTTAGATGTACATTTTTGTGACAAAAAGTCCCACAATTTTCTTTTTTTAGTTCAGTCATTCCACACATGTTTACTAACCATCCACAGGACTCTGAGATACAGAAAACTTTAATCCAGATAGAGAAAAATACATATATAAATATCAATATAATATACAGTATACTATATCCCAAGAGGTACTTGAATTTTAAAGCGGAGATACAAACTTGTGGTTAAAAATTTCTTGAATAAGAAATGTCCTATGATTATCTTTTCTTAATATCATTTATTCTCAATCTCATCTGGACTTTAACTTCCAAATTTTTACTTTACTTTTTAACTTAGTTAGCTAGAGCTTTGTACTTTATTTCTGAAATGGGTAAAACAAAGACTGTACCATTCAAAGGTTATCGAGGAAAACCTTAAGATGTACTGGTCTAGGTATGCCTGTGCTTTTAGCACAACAATGACCCTGTTTAGTTGTCTTCCCTTAGGTTCTACTTTCTCACCTTGGTTTACTGATATTCACCTCACAGAGAGGCAGACTGGACTTAGTTACATTCAGGACTAAATATAGGAGAGCTTAGTAGTGGCAGCCTTCACGGGTTTTGTAAGGAAAATATTTATAAATACTTTGAATAATTGGCCTAAAATTTATTAATTAAAAACAATCATTTAAATTCTTACCTGTAAAAAGAAAGAAGATCAAAACCATTATCATGGTATAACCAAAGTACAGAATTGTACTTGCTGTTCCTGTAATTTGCAGTTTTGAAAAGAAGTAGTGTATTGCATATATTAAGAAATAAACTGCAGTAAAGCCACTAGTAAGGAATGAACGCCATTGCCAATGATAATCCTAAGTAGAAAGGAAAAAAATTAAAGAACAAGAATTACTTTCCAATTAATAGATAACATGTACCAAAATAAAGATACTAAACAAACATAAATAAATTAAATAACCTCCAGAACCTAATTTTTGTTAGAGATTTCAGTATTTTGCTCCTACTGAATTTTGTCAATTTCCCTCCTCACTAAAAGGGCTAAGAAGCATCCCTTATCTTTGGTTGAACTGCTTAAACACTAGCTAAAAACATATGGAAAAATCTTAAACAGTTTATAAACAATGAATAATGAAGCATTAAAATGTATTTTAAAATGTATGCTTCCCAAAGAACAGCAATACATTTTTTGCTTACTTACATAGTTTACTTACATTTACACAGTTCAAAATTAATACTACTTATCTTATAGTCTAGACAACTATGTTAGGAAGAAAATTAAGTCTATTAAGGCCTAGATGAAATCCATTTTCAGTTATTACTATCATAATTTAAACAAGGTAAGTTTTTGAAACAGTTCTTTTACGTAAAGTAGCGTATAGCTCAGCTTAGCAGGAGATACTGCGAAAGAAATACGGTACTTCACTACCTCTCCTACCCTTTTGAATATGTGAAAAATAAATATATTTTAAAAGCATACCAAGATTAAAAATACAAAAGAATCCACACACAAAAATTACCATAGCTAATAAACAAACTCAGCAATGTTATAGGATACAAAATCAACATGAAAGTCAGTTATGTTTTTATATATCAGCAATAAACAATCCAAAAACGGGAAAACAAAAAATAAAAAACATTTACAACAGCTCCAAAAGAATAAAATACTGAGGAATAAATTTAACTAAAGACGTGAAAGACTTATACACTGAAAACTACAAAACAATGGTAAAAGAAATTAAAGGAGACTGAAATCAGTGGAAAGACATCCCGTGTTCATAGAAGACTTAATATTGTTAAGATGAAAATTTTCTCCAAAGTGATTACAAATTCAATGCAATCCCTATGATCATTTTTTTTTCAGAAATGGCAAAGTCGATCCTCAAATTCATATGTAATTGCAAGGGGCCCTGAATAGCTAAAATAATCTTCAAAAAGAAGAACAAAGTTGGGGGGCTTAGCCCAACAGGGTGGTATTAGCACAAGGATAGTGTATACACCACTGGAATAAAATTGAGAATCCAGAAATAAACCCATACGTCTATGGTCAATGAATTTTCAACAACTTTGCCAAGACCATTCCATGAGGAAATAATAGTCTCTTCAACAAATGGTGCTGGGAAACTGGATATCCACATGCAAAAGAATGAAGTCAGACCTCTAACTAATAACATACACAAAAATTAACTGCAAATGTATCAATCAATGATCTAAACATATGAGCTAAAATTATACACTTAGAAGAAAACATAAAGGTAACTCTTCATAACCTTAGATTTAGCAATGATATCTTCGATATGGCAACAAAAGAAAAAAAATAGATAAAATGAGACTTCATCAAAATTAAAATGTTCATATAAGGGGCATCATCAAAAAAGTAAAAAGACAACTTACAGAATGGAAACAATATTTGCAAATCATGTATTTGGTAAAGGTCTAGTATCAGAATATATAAAGAACTCTTACAACTGAACAAAAAGATAAACAACCCAATTTATAAATGGGTAAACAGAGTAGACATGTCTCCAAATAAGATATACAGATGGTCAACAAACAAAAGAAAAGATGCTGAACATTATTAGCCACTGGGGAAATGGAAAACCACAATGAGGTATTACTTCACACACACTAGGATGGCTATAACTTTAAAAAAGGAAAAATAATAGTGTTGGCAAGGACATGGAGAAATTGGAACCCTTATGCACTGTTGGCAGCAATGTAAAATATTGCAGCCACTGTGGAAACCACAGTTTGGAGCTTCCTCAAAAAGTTAAATGGAGAATTACCACATGTCTCAGTAATTCTACTTCTACATGTATACGCCTCAAAATTTAAAACAGGTATTCACATATTTGTTCATGAATGTTCATAGCAGTACTATTCACAATAGCCAAAAGGGAGAAACAAACCTAATGTTCATCAATGAATAAACAAATTGGGGTATAGCTATACAATGGAGTATTTATTCAGCTGTAAAAAGAAATCAAGTACTGATACTTGTTACAATGTGTTGAACCTTGAAAACAGTCTGCTAAGTAAAGAAGCCAGACCCAAAAGGCTACACAATTATATGAAATATACAAAATAAGTAAATCCATAGAAACAAAAGCAGACTGGTAGTTGCAGGGTCTGAGGCAGAGGAAGAGCAGAGTAGGAAGTACCTGCTTAATGGACATGGAATTTTGTTTATGGTGGGGGGTGATAAAAATATTTTGAAACTAGATGGAGGTGGTGGTTATGCAACGATGTAAATGTAGTAAGTGCCAATGATATACTCACTTTAAAAGAGTTGATTTTATGTTATCTGAATTTAACCTCAATTAAAAAAATGTTTCTTTAATCCTTGCCCAAAGATATGTTTAACCAATTTTTAGAGAGAAAGAAACATCAATGTGAGAAATATCGATTGGTTGCCTCCTGTACATGCCCTGATTCATGACCGAACCTGAAACCTACATCTGTGTCTTGGCTAGGAGTTGAACCCACAACCTTTTGGTGTACAGGATGGTTCTAACTGAGCCACCCGGCCAGGGCTAACTTCGATTTTTAAAAAAAGCATCTAAAGTTTAACAAAGTTAGATTTTTATATCCTGTATAGAAAATAACTTATAAAAGAATTACTTAACACACTCTAAATCTTTAGACAGCAACTCTACCTATTACATAAGGATATCATTTTTGCCAGGTTGCCACAAATATCGTTCATTACAATGTAATATTTTAATACATTTTCCACTTAAAATCTGTTTATTTTTCCTAAATTTTTGGTCTAGAAGTATGTCACAAAAGAAATATTAAGCCAGACATTCAAAAACCAAAAAATAAAAATTCTGCATGACATGCTATTCTTAGGAAATTGGCATTTTAAAGTTAAGCTCAAAGTAAATACTATCTGAACAGATATACAATTTTAATTCAATTCTAAAGAGGGTGACATTTGACTTAGAAATACAGGTCAATTTCTGTCTTAATACGTATCAACAAAAATTATTTCAATGAATAGTTTCAGCCTCATGTCAAAATTATAAACACTGTATACAAATTAACATAAGCGAATATTACTAAATACATACCTCGGCACATAGGTGGAAATAGCAAAGAAGTATAGTTGCTTCAGAACATGTAATAACCAAAATGATAAACACCAGAAATAGGAAGCCAAACATATAATACATCTGGTGTGACCTATAGTCAAACATATCAAAATGAAAGTATAAATATTTTCTCTGACACAGTAAATGACACAGTCTTTTCATTTTCCTTCAACTGAAAATGTTTGCTTTTTTTCTCAACTAATCAAAGATGACAAATTCACACAGGTTTAGATGGTGATGTGGTGGGGATGGGGCAGGGGAGAAGAGATACGGCAAAGTCATGGACTTTGCCTTCCTACTCAGGTAGAGCCTGAAACTCTTATTAATTCAAATATGCTTAATCTACTTGTCTACTGGTGAGTCTGACAAATTTGATAAAAAAATTAATGAAAAGACAGACCCAAACTAATAAATGGTCACATTTAGTGTATATACATTTAGTATATATATGGTAGTTTCTTATCACATATGATAAAATCAGTTGAATTTGGAAAACATTATAACAATCAGAAGGAAAGAGGTTCTGATCATTAAAAAGTTCTAATTTAGTTCTCACTTTATGCTCATTGAACCTTGATACTTTCTTTAAAATATGTCAATGTGATAAAAAAACTATTATAATATACTGCAATTTGTATACCCTGTAGAGTGGATCAAAATTACCACTATGAGATTTTCCACGCAAATAAGAAATCAGAGAATAAAGAACTTGGGATAAGAAAGGACTCTGAAAGCTTAGCTAGCTCGAATCTTCCTCCAATGCTTGCTTGAAACTCCTCCATCAGGAGCTCAGAGTTATCTTCTCTGAAGCAGTACAAATTACTTATTTAAGAACAGAGGTTTGGAAACAATTTTTGTTACATGGTAACTGTGACACATAAATTACTTAACTTTCAAAACCTCATTTTAATCCCTGTGAAATGTGGATAGTAACCACCTCATAGACATCTGAGAAGAGGAGGAATTAATAAGCCCTCAATTAATAATAGGTGTGTATCATTATTATTTTTTTTTCACATAAAAAATAAAATAACCTTTTGGTTCATAAGATTTTTTAAAATTTTATTTTATTGTTTATGTTATTACAGTTTGTCCTCGCTTTTTCCCCTTTCCCTCACCTCCACCAGCAACCCTCTTCCTCTTAAGACTTCTGATTATTAGAGAATGGTTTACATTTGTAAAATATAAGTAATAACCCAGGAAACAAAATGAGAAAGCTAGTACTACATATAGCGGTAATGGGAATAAGAGGACTTAGTCCTTAGCTTACCAAATACTATTCAGAATGAAGAAAAGCTGTATAAAGATACATCCAAAGGGCAAAATTCCTCCCATGATAATACCAGGCAATGGCTTTGTGTAGAAGGACTGTTCAGGAATCTGACGTGGAATCTGATTGGTTCGAACTGGGTGTTCAATGGCCTTCGGTAAGAAAAAAAATGCAAGAAAAAAAAGAAAGAATTTATAATTATATATCTATTTAAAAACTTCTCTGTACTAGGTTATTTGCCTGTTTTTTTTTTCAGCTTCCATGCTGATGCTAATGGCAATACAAGTCTACTTAAGTCATCAAAGGGAAATCTGTATTTAGAAGCAACAAACCAGACACTAGGTGAAATACTGTCTGTCTACTGGAACAAGCCACTGTCACCAGCAGTTATCCACTGACTAGTGGCTTTACACTAAGAATGAATATACAGAAGATAATATAGTACTTAGAAAAAAATAGTTAATAAAAAAGTAGAGTTAGGTTTTCCTTTTTAAATATATATTCACTGTAAGAAATTAGCTGGTTCTGAAATTATTATCAATGTATTTTTATTGGGAGATGGGCAATGCCATCTTTATTAAAATTGCTCAATTTTACTAAGACTCAAGAACATGAAGACAACAATGAATGGCTATATAAAGCTTTATTACCATAAGGTATAAATAATGTTCTCAATTATTATCTCTTTCATAATACACATGACAGTATAAAAATAACTAGAATCTAAAGTACCTAAATATAGTTATATGAGTGGGAAAAAAAGGGCACACACGTAGAAATTAATTTTCTTACAAAAAAGTTCAAAACATACTTCTGAAGTTTTTGTGATGATACATCAAAATGTAAAACTTGTCTCACTGAGATTATACTTTCATGGACTACATTTTTATACATATATATGATTCTATGAATATATATATTTTCATAAAATCATTATATATCTTTTTTATATTTTTAGAATTTTAAGTCCTTATCTATGTTGTTTAAAAAATTTCAAACTGTCAGTTTACTACTTATGCTATATAGATATTAAATCATAAATTAAATAAAATGATAAATAATTGAAAAATCTTTTATTAGACTGGCATGGTAGGTACAGTGGAGACTATGAGGCAATGACGGTTTCTTCCAAAGCACTCCAGGTTGCCTCACGAAGTGTACTATAATACATTATTTCTTTTAACCTTGTGGACTGAATATTTTCAGAGAAGAGCAAGAATACGGAAGTTGGAGAAAGACACTGAAAAATAAATTGTCATTTTCTTCTTAGCCTGATGATAGAAGAGGATAGCAGAGGTGGCAAAAGATAAGGCAAGGGAGGGAGGAAGTGACCCTTGATTATAATCTTTCTTAAAACCAAGTGTTAGCAGGTAAGCTATATTCAATTTATTATAAAGCAGAGGATGGCAGAGGAGTAGGTGAGAACTGAGACCACTTGCTCCTGCACCCAACTGGGACCCTTAGCTGATCTTCTGAAGAACAAACTGAGCAGCCAACAGAATCTTAGCTAAGTTTGGAAGCCAAAGTGCGCACAGGACACTTCAAAATGGGCGGTAAGGAAGTTTTAAAGGCAGACTGGGAAGGTCCTCAGAAGTGCAGCTGCCACCCCACGACAACAGAGGAGAGCCAGGTCAGTTATAGGAGCCTAGAGGCTACATCTCCTCCCAGGGGAGGGAAATCCCAGACCCTTGCCAGGAGACACTTGAACGTGTAAAGTCGCTTGGGGGGTGGGAAAGGCAGCAACACACATACAGCTGACGGCACACCCAAGCTGGGGTGGAGGTTGCTGGCCAGGACAGTGCCAGAGAGCAGGGATCCTGGCAATAACTGGAGCTGGGAGAAGAGGTGGGCCAGGACTGGCTGTGACCCAGACAGACTCTGGACTTGCCAGAGGTTTGGAGTGTGTGGAAACCCGGTCAGTGGCTCAGAGAGGCAGTGGCACCGAGACTTTTCAAAAGGGGACTGACAGGCACACAGGGCAGGGACCACGCATGCACACCTACTAGACCAGTGAGGGCAATTTGCTCCCATTCAGTGCACCTCACGGACTGATCAAAGGTGTGCAAAGTGAGGTGGTTTATTGGCTCCAACCCAGCGTGCAACTGTGCAAAATAGAGTGCGGGCAGCACAGTGCTCTGATAATGTGGGCTGGAAAATGGGTACCTGTGATTATTGTAGCCCAGACAGAGCCCCCATCCTTTCAGAACCATCAGGAAAGGGAAAATGGACCTCAACCCCCCACCCTGTGTAGGAGCTAGGAAGACCTACAAAAAAGGCTGGGTAGGCTTAATGATAAACAGCTGCTTCCCCCACCCCACCCCCAAGAGTAGGACAGTAAGACCTGGACCTGAGAGAAAACCAGAGATGGATCCAGAAACAAGTTAGAAGGCAAGCACCAACAGCTGAGACAAATTTCACCTCGCTCTTCATCAGAACTTGCATTTTTATTTCTCTTCTTTTTAGTTTTTTGGTTTGATATTTCCCTTTCATACTGCATTTAAATTTTTCTTCTTTCGCTTCACTTGTATTCCAAGTAACTCACAACTTTTGGTCTTCTACTTTTTATTCAGATCATACAATATCATACTATTGTTATTCCAAATCCCACACAGCACCCTTCTCTGGTTTTAATCCATTTTACCATATTCCTGAGCTTTATTACTGTTGCGTAAACTTTTATTTTCTCTCACACTGAGCCATGTTCCTATCTCTTAATCTTACTATTTCTCCTCCATCTAATCTTGCATAAGCACTCTTCTTTCTTAAGTCAGCTCACATTCTTTTCACCCTCTAACAAGAGTTTTATTTATTTTTCACCTTTTATAAACAATGGCTAGGTGGGCGAAATACCATGGTTATTGATGTACTTCTCCAATGGAACTCTGATCTGTTCACTATTTGTTTGTATTTTAAATCCAATAAAATACTCTGCCCCACCCATCTTACTCCGTTTTGCCTTCCCCCTGTCCCTGATCAGTTGAGTGAGGAATTTTATTTCATTTCTATTCCCCTACTCCCTTTCTCAACCTGGACTTTACCCTGTATTCTTATTAGTTTGCTTCCCCCAGCCTCTCAAAATCATTTTTCTTTACTGTAGACATCTCATATTCACTTTTTGCTTTTATACAACATTCTTATTCCTGTTCCCCTTTATTAAGCTTCAGTCAGCTGTCGTTGCTATTGACCCTGCTGCGGTTGTTTGGCAATTTTCACGCTGTCGGTCTAATAGCTTTTCAATTTTACTTCAAACCTCATAGTATACTCTTCCCTCTTCTTACCCTCCTTGTTCCTATCACCCCTTCATGTTTTATTTACATTTTAAATTTTGTTCTCTCCCTTTCTTTGCCCCAGTTCTATCCCTATTCTTATCAATTCTCCTTCTTCTTACCACTCAATAACATTTTCCCCTCATTTAGTCATCTCATATTCCCTTTGTCATAGCTTCTAATACTGTAATCTCTCTTCATCTTTATTAATCTTTGTTCAATTGTGGTTGAGATTGCTGATGTGGTGGGGGAGGGTTCTTTTTGCTGGGGTAGGTTCAGTTGTCTGGTATACTGCTTTATTAATCAACACCTGTACAACAGCATACAAGACAAGGTGGGAGTTGTGACAAACAGTAAGTCCGCTGGAGGGGAGAACCTACCAACACAGGAGCCACCAACAAGAAAAACCCAACTACAACAAGACAGCCCACAAAAATGGAAGAAAGAGCAACCCTAAAACATTCAGATAAGGATATCAAAGAGACTGCAACACTGAGTCCCACAGAACTCCTTCCACAGACGTTCACTCTACAAAGATAGCTGGCAAAGCAGAGCATCTAGAATCACAAAACAAAAACAGTCTCTTAAATGAGGAGACGAAGAAAGAACCCACAATCAAAAGGAATAGAAAAATCCCCAGTAAAAGTGCTAAATGAAATGGAGGCAAGCAAACTATCAGACATAGCATTAAAAAAAAAAAAGTTATAAAAATACTCAAGAAACTCAGTGACAACTAGAAGGAACTGAGGGGGCACTACAACAGCATGAAAAAGGAAATAGAAACTATAAACAAGAACCAGGAAGAAATTAAGAATGCAACATCTGAAATTAAAAATACACTAGAAGAAACTACAAACAGGCTGGATGAAGCAGAAGACCAAATTAGTGAGCTGGAAGACAAGGTAGAAAGAAATACCTACGCAGTGCAACAGCATGAAAAAAGACTCAGAAAATATGAGGAAGGCTTAAGGGAACTTCAGGACAACATTAAACATAACAACATTCGAATAATAGGAATACCAGAAGGAGATGAAATGGAGCAAGGGATAGAAAACCTGTCTGAAAAAAAAGTGACAGAAAACTTCCCTAACTTGGAAAGGGGAAAAGCCACGTAAGTGCAGGAAGCACAGAGGGTCCCAAACAAGTTGAACCCAACTTGTTTGGGTTCTACTACTCTATGACACATCATAATTGAAATTCCAAGTTTTAAACACAAAGAGAGAATTTGAAAAGCAGTAAGGGAGAAACAGTAACATACAAAGGAGCTCCAATAAGGCTAGGAGCTGATTTTGCAACAGAAACAATACAAGCCAGAAGGGAATGGCAAGAAATATTCCAAGTAATGAAAAGCAAAGGCCTGCAACCAACTGCTAATACCCAGTAAGGCTGTCATTCAAAATGGAAGGCAAAATAATGAGTTTCCCAGACAAAAGAAGGTTACAAAAATAAACCTACAGCAAACAAGCATTGTAAGACATGCTAAATGGACTGCTTTAAGAAGATGAAGGGATACAGTGAGAGAAAGAGGAACACAGGTACAAAAGGAAAAATGGGAATGAATAAGTACCTTTCAGTAGTAACATTAAATGTAAATGGATTAAATGATCCAATCAAAAGACACAGGGTAGCTAAATGGATAAGAAAACATAATCCGAATATATGTTGTCTACAAGAGACCAACCTCAGAACAAAAGACCTAGACAGACAGAAAGTGAAGGGTTGGGAAAAAATATTCCAAGCAAATTCACGAGAAAAAAGAAAAAAAGCCAGAATAGTAATACTTACACAAAATAGATTTCAAAACAAGCCATAAAAAGAGACAAAGAAGGCCGTTTCATAATTCTAAAGGGACAAATCCATCAGGAAGCTATAAACATTATAAACATACATGCATCCAACATAGGAGCACCCAAACATATAAAGAAAACCCTGGAGGACTTCAAGAAAGGTATAGACAGCAATACACTTATACTAAGGGATTTTAACACCCCACTGTCAAAAATGGATAGATCATCCAATTAGAGTATCAACAAGGACACTGTGGCACTGAACTACACGCTAGATAAAATGGGCTTAATCAATATATATGGAACCTTTCACCCCAAAGAAGCAATGTTACATTTCATGGAACATTTTCAAAGACAGACCACATGACAGGACACAAAACAAGCCTCAACAAATTAAAGAAAATTGAAATCACATCAAGCATTTTCTTAGATCACAATGGTTGAAACTAGAAACCAAACTCAGGGAAAAACTTAAAAACAATCAAATACATGGACACTGAATAATATGTTATTAAACAATGAATGGGTAAACAATGAGATCAAGGAAGAATCAAAAAGTTTCTGAAATGAAAATGAACACACAACAATCCAAAACCTATGAGACACAGTGAAGGCATTCCTGACAGGGAAGTTCATAGTAATACAGGCCTACCTAAAAAAGACAGAAAAATTTCAACTAAACAACCTAACCCTACATCTATAAAAACCAGAGGAACATTAACAAACAAAATCCAGAGCAAGAGGAAGGAAATAATCAAGATCACAGTGGAATTAAATGACGTGGAGACTAAAAGAACAATTCTAAGGATCAAAAAAATCTAGGAGCTAGTTCTTTGAAAGGATAAACAAAATTAACAAGCCTTTCAGCAGAGTCATCAAGAAAAGAGAGATGATGCAAATAAAATCAGAAATGAAAGAGGGGAAATTACAACTGATACCACAGAAATACAAAGGAATGTTAAGAAATTACTATGAAAAACTGTATGCCAAGACATTTGAAAACCTGAGCAAAATAGACAAATTTCTAGAAACATATAATCCTCCAAGACTGAGTCAAGAAGAAGCAAAAAGCCTGAATAGACTGGTATCAGCTGGTAAAATTGAAGCAGTAATCAAAAAACTCCTGGCACACAAAAGCCCTGGGACAGATGGATTCACAGAGAATTTTACCAGTCATTTACAGAAGAGCTAACCTGATTCTTCTCAAACTATTCCAAAAAATCCAAGAAGAAGGAAGACTCCCAAATTCTTTTTATGAGGCCAGTATTATCCTAATTCTAAAACCAGATAAAGACACAACAAAAAAAGAAAACTACAGGCCAATATTGCTGATGAACATAGATGCTAAAATCCTGAAAAAAAAATATTGGCAAATTGGATCCAGTAGTACATTAAAAAGATCACACACCATGATAAAGTGGGATTCATCCCAGGGATGAAAAGAAGGTTCAATATTCGCAAATCAGTAAGTGTAATGCACCACATAAACAATAGGAAAGACAAAAACCACATGATCATATCCATACCATATCAATAGATTCTGAAAAAGCATTTGATAAAGTATAGCAGCCATTTATGATAAAAACACTCAGCAAAGTGGGAGTACAGGGAGCATACCTCACCATAATAATAATAAAGGCCATGTACAAGAAACATACAGCCAACCTTATATTCAATGGGCAAAAACTAAAAGCTTTCCCACTAAGATCAGGAACAAGTCAAGGGTGTCCACTTTCACCACTTCTATTCAACATAGTACTGGGATTTCTAGCCAAAGCAATCAGACAAGAAAAAGAAATAAAAGGCACCCAAATTGGAAATGAAGTAAAGCTGTCACTGTTTGCAGATGACATGATAGTGTACATAGAAGACACTGTCAACTGCACCAAAAAACTACCTGACCTAATAAATGAATTTGGGAAAATGGCAAGATATAAAGTCAACATTCAGAAATCAAAGGCATTTTTGTATACCAACAATGAAATATCAGAAACAGAAATTAGATAAAAAAAGAAACAGTTATTAGAAAAAAATCCCATTTACTTTAGCAACAAGATAAATAAAATACATAGGAATAAACTTAGCGAAGGAAGTAAAAGACCTGTACTCAGAAAACTACACATACACAACACTGAAGAAATTAAGGAAGACACAAATAAATGGAAGCATATTCCTGTGTTCATGGATTGTAAGCAATAACATCATCAAAATGTCCATACTATTCAAAGCAATCTATAGATTCAATGCAATCCCTATTAAAATACCAATGACATATTTCACAGATATAGGACAAATATTTCAAAATTTTATTATGGAAACATAAACAACCCTGAATAGCCTCAGCAATTGAGAAAGTAAAAAGTAGGAGAGGGATCAAAATGCCTGATACCAAACTATATTATAAGGCCATTGTAATCAAAGCACAGTCTGGTACTGGCATAAGAACAGAAACAGAACAGAGAGCCCAGAAATAAACCCATGTCAATAGAGTTCAGTTAATATTTGACAAAGGGGGCAGGAACATGTAGTAAAATGTAGTAAAAATAGCCTCTTCAATAAATGATGTTGGGAGATTTGGACAAGTACATGCAAAAAAATGAAACTAGATGACCAACTTATACCATACACAAAAGTAAACTTAAGATGGATAAAAGACAAATATAAATCATGACAACATAAAAGTCCTAGAGGAAAACATAGGTGGGAAAATATCAATATTGTATGTCTCAATATTTTCAAAGATATATCACCTAGGGCAAGGGATATAAAGGAAAGAATAAACAAATGGGACTACATCAAACTAAATAGCTTCTGCACAGCTAAAGATAACATCAACAAAGTGGCAAGGAAACCAACTATATGGGAAAACACATTTGCCATTGATACCTTGGACAAGGGTTTGATCTCTAAAATATATAAAGACCTCACGACTCCACACCAGGAAGACAAGCAATCCAATTAAAAAATGGGCAAATCACCTGATCAGATACTTCTCCAAGAAGGACATATAGAGGTCCCATAGACACATGAACAAATACTCAACATCACTAGCCATTAGAGATATGAAAATTAAAACCACAATGAGATACCAGTTCACACCAGTCAGAATGGCCATGATTTACAAATCACCAAACAACCAATGCTGGTGAGGTTGTGGAAAAAAGGGAACTCTAGTACACTGTTTACATGAATGCAGGCTGGTGCAGCCACTGTGGAAAACAGTATGGAAGTTCCTCAAAAAACCAAAGATGGTGCACTGGCTGGTGTGGCTCAGTGGTTGAGTGCTGGCCTTTGAATCAAAGAGTCACTGGTTTGATTCCCAATGTAGGGCACAAACCTGGGCTGCCAGCCAGGTTGCCAGTAGGGGGCACGTAAGAGGCAACCACACACTGATGTTTCTCTCCCTGTCTTTTCCCCCCTTTTCCATGTCTAAAACATAAATAAATAAAATCTTTTAAAAATTATTTTAATTGTTGTTCAAGTACAGTTTTCTCCCTTTTACCCCCATCCCAGTCCACCCCCTCGACCTCCCCTAAATAAATAAAATCTTAAAAAATAAACCCCAACAAACTAAAGATGGAAATGTCTTTTGATCCAACTATCCCACTGCTGGGACTAAACCTAAGAATACTGAATCAACAATTCAAAAGAACCTATGCATCCCAATGTTCATAGCAGTGTTATTTACAATAGCCAAGAGCTTGAAACAGCCTAAGTGCACATCAGTAAATGAGTGGATCAAAGAATTGTGGTCCATTTACACAATGGAATACTACTCAGCAAAAAGAAAGAACCCCTACGCTTCATGATAGCGTGGATGGAGCTGGAGAGCATTATGCTAAATGAAATAAGCCAGGCAGTGAAAGACAAATACCATATGATCTCACCTGTAAAGTGGAACCTAATCAACACAACAAACAAATATGCAAAATAGAACGAGAGACCCGGAAATAAAGAACAAACTAACAGTGACCATTGGGCAGGGGGAAGGGAGACAATGGAGAAAGAAGAGGAAGGGGCAAGCAAAGGAACAGGAATAGAGGACTGATGGACACGGGCAATGGGGGTGACTGACTGTGGTAGTTGGGTGGTAGGATGGGGTGAGCAATGGGGAAAAAGGTGGGACAACTGAAACTGAACAATAAATAATAAATAATTTTAAAAATATTTATTATAAAGCAATTTTTATTTTAAAAGTTGCTAGCTTTAATTTATAGTCACCTCTTTTACAACTTTACTTCTTAACCCATACACTTGGTTACTTAGTTAAGTAATGCACACTAGAAACATTTATTGCTAAGGAAAAAACATACATACATTAAGGTTAAAATAAAAAGTAGGAAAATAATTTATTTTAATGTCAAAGTTTCAAAATTTTGATTAGCTTAAACTTGATTTTCATTTCCTATTAATTTATATTAGTTTCCACTTACCTAGAGAACTTTGAAATCTAAGTTTATATTTATAATCTCTCTACTACACTCCTACGTATGTACAACTTTTTAAACAATAATTGCCATGAAACTTCAAAGTCATCAATCTTCTGTGAATTCCAGATCCCACAGAACAAGTTTATATGTTTTAGACATGTATCTTTTAAGGTGGCATATGCTAGTTTGCACAGTTGAAATTCATTTGAATAAGTTAAACTTACATTCTTCTTAAAACCAAAGTATGCACCAATAAATGTTAGAGGCACAGATATGCAGAACCAAAGGGCCAATATGGCAACCAGTGTTCCAAAAGGAATAGCTGCTGAAGATCCTTCTCCCCAGAGAATCAGATTCATTATAAAGAAGTCAGCAAATACAATCCTGAAAGACAAAATAGGCTTTTAAAGTAAAACTTGAGTTAGAAGAAAAATGAAATAGCAGCAATCATATGAATATAATATCACAATTTTTGTGTTACATACGAAGAAAGTAAAACTGCTGAGTCACGAGGAATGTGAATTTAAAACTTCAGAAGAAATTGCATAATTACTCTTCAGATTCGTTTTGCCTGACTTAAATTCCTGCGAGCAGCTACTGAAAGTTTCTCTACATATTTTCATTATGCCAGAGATTGTCAGATTTGTTGTTTTAATTTTCATTTCCTATTGACAACTGCATCTGAGTATCCTGTATTTGTTGGCTTCTAAGGTCTTACCTTTTGTGACTTACTGGTTAAATCCACTGCTTATTTTGTCATTTCTGTTGCATGGCTTTTGAAAAGTCACATATGTCAGCTATTCATACACTCCATCAACTAACTCCTTGTTAAGTATCTTGTTCTCCCAGTTTATGGCTTTTGATGAACCCAAACATTTGAATATGTGTACTTTATTTCTTTTCAGTCTTTTTTCTATGAGTACATTTTCAAAAACATGACTGTAATCTTACTATAATCACTTCTATGTAACCTGCATAATTTTTAATGTTACCAAAGTCATCAATTTTTTTTTCCTTTATCCTTTGGGTAACTTGTTCAAGAGAAGAAAGCCTTTCCTAAACTGGGATCATGAAGATACCCCTCTGTATCATCATCTAGTTATTATACCTGTTAGAATACATTTTGATTTTAATCCACCTAGAGCTGATTCCATGTGTGTGAGATAAGAACAGAATTTTTCTCCCTTCATCTAGCATGCTTCCATATATACATGGTCTGTTTCTGTGTTCTCTGTCTTGCTAGCCATGGGCCATTTCCAAACTCCTTCACGATACTAAGTTTTCTTATCAAGTATCATGGCGAATTTGTATCTCTTACTAGTTAAGCAATGTAGACTGGCCATAATATGGATTATGCCTATTTTGAGGAGTTATTTCAGGATATTATAAAGGTTTTCTGTTGCTAATACTCCTGTAAGTAGATTCCTGTTCCCACAAAACTACCACTAGCATTAAAATATGTTATTTGCTATTGGCGGTATTCATGATCTTGGAATAACAGCTGACATCTAGCCATTTTGGCAAACTCTTATTGACTCTACAAATTTTATATAGCTGAAATTTGTTGATGTTCTCCGTATACAATATGCCACCAATAATATGATCTCCAACTTTTGAAATGTATTCCTTGTTTCATGCTAAACTGAAGCCATAAAAGTGATTTAATGAAAGTATTTCTAGTGTTTCATCATTAAATGATTGTTGGATTTGAAATAGAGATGAGAATTTTATTAATACAAGAAACCATTTTCCTCTCCATTAAATGCTTTTCTTAAATGTGTTTTTTAAAAAAGATTTTATTTATTTATTTTTAGAGAGAGGAGAAGGGAGGGAGAAAGAGAGAAAGAGAAACATCAATATGTGGTTGCCTCTCAAGTGCCCTGCACCAGAGAACCTGGCCCGCAACTCAGGAATGTGCCCTAACTGGGAATTGAACCAGCGACCGTTTGGTTCATAGGCCAGCGCTCAGTCCACTGAGCCACACCATTCAGGGCTCTCCATTAAATTCTTTTTTGAAAAAATTTTTTTTAATTTTTATTTATTTATTTTTAGAGAGGGGGGAAGGGAAGGAGAAAGAGAGGGAGAGAAACACTGATGTGTGGTGAAAGAACATCAATTGGTTGTATCTCGCATGCCTCCAACTGGGGCCCTGGCCCACCACCCAGGCATGTGCCCTGACCTAGAACTGAACTGGCAACCTTTTGGTTCACAGGCTGGCACTCAATCCATTGAACCACACCAGCCAGGCCATTAAATTCTTTTTAAATCTGGAAACAACGTTTAATATTATCAAATGCCATTTTGTTGTGTCTACTATAATAATTATATGCAGGTGTTTATCTGTATAAAATCATATGAATCAATTTTATAGTATTAAAACATCCTTTTCCTAGGTGAACACCAATTTCCCTCTCTCCAGGAACTTGGGTTGTTGGCTCTCTCTATCCCTCTGCTTACCTCACCATCCTACTGGTGAACACCTATTTTTGAAGTAAAATGAAGATCAGAGAAGGGTTGTTCAGAGATGTAAAGGAACAGCCATAGGACAATTTCTACAAAGCCAAAAAAGGAAGGGGTTTCAAGGAGAAGGTATTCCAATGTTAGACAATGGAGACAGGTAAAGATAGTGAAAATAATTTCTAGATTTGAAAGTAACATCACTAGTAATCTTCGAGAGAAGTTCACTAAAATGACAGAAGAAAAAAAGACAGGATGACATGGGTTTACCCTGTAAATGACTGTTGAGAAAACAGAGTAAGGAAGTGTAGACTATTTTTTCAAGGAATTTTGTTGGGAATGGAAAAAAAATAAGATAGGAGACAGCTCCTTTTGGGGTGTGGGAGACTTAAGCATATGTGTAGGAGTGAGATGAAACACATGAACAGAACACAAAGAAAGGAAGACATGAAAGATGTCAGAGATTGGGGGGACATTTGAAAGTCAAGATTCTGAAGCAAATCATGACTGACAGTCTTGGTAAAAAGGGACACTTTCTGAGTTGACAGCAGAAGGAAAGAGGACAAAAGATACAGTTAGAGAAAAGCACAAAAATTTGAATAGAACATGAAAGCTTGAGTCTTCAGGAGAGGTAAAAATCTGAGGTTATTATCCCAAATGTTTATTAAAATTTCAGCTATTGTGCCCTGGCTGGTGTAGCTCAGTAGATTGAGCATGGGCCTGTGAACCAAAGGGTCACTGGTTCGATTCCTACTAAGGACACATGCCTGGGTCATGGGCCAGGTTCTCAGTAAGGGTTGTGTGAGAGGCAAACATATGCTGACGTTTCTCTCCTTCTAAAAAATAAATAAATAAATAAAATCTTTAAAAAATTTTTTTGGCTATTATAACTCTTTCATTACTGGCCTGCAATGAAACAGTCCTGGCCTCCAGATTTAACTTTTAGCCTGTGTTATTGCTGCTGACCAGAGGCTACTTTCTCGCCCACCACATGGGGAGAACTTGGTGAGTTGGGAAAAGTGGGTTCTATTTCTAGGATTACATGTACATCAGATACTTGGTATCAGAGGCTATTCTCCAAAGAACATGTTGTGTTTTTTTTTTAATTTAATTTTATTTTAATTGTTGTTCAAGTATAGTTTTCTGTCTTTTACTCTTATCCCAGCCCACCCCACCTGCCCTCCCCACCTCTTTCCCATTTCCACCCCCTCGTTTTTGTCCACGTGGGACATGTTTTTTTTAATGCAGTGGTTTTTAAATTTTTCAAAAAAATTTTGTTATGTGTTTACTTATCGAATAAACTCTAAAATGCAGCAATCCTTTTGATAAAAATCTGAAAATATAACCTGCCTGACTGATATCAGGTGAGGATTCCTTTCTATGGCCATGTCTATAGCTTTAAATGCAGTATATAAGCCATTTACGTTTAAGGTGGTTACTAACAGATATGTTTTTAGTGCATTTTTACTGTTTGACAATTTTCCTTTATTTTTTTCCCTTTCTAAACAAAAGACAGAGGGTAGCTGAGTGGATAAAAAAACAAGACCCATATACATGCTGCCTCCAAGAGTCCCACCTCAGATTACAAGATATACAATGACTAAAAGTAAAAGGATAGAAAATAATATCTCATGCAAATAGAAAAAAAAGCTAGAGTAGCAATAGTTATATCCAACAAAACATACTTTAGTAAGACTAAAGACTATAGATTTTAGTGAGGCCAAGACTACACTAAGAGACAAAAAAGGACACTACATAATGATAAAGGGAACAATCCAACCAGAGGATATAACCCTATAAACATTTATACACCCAACACAGGAGCATCTAAATATGTAAAGCAAATCTTGATGGACATAAAGGGAAAGAGATTGACAGAAAAACAACCAACACTCCAGGATTTTAACACCCTATCAACGGCAATGGACGGATCCTCCAGACAGAAAATCAACAAGGAGAGAGAGGCCTTAAACACACTAGATTAAATGGATTTAACTGATGTCTTCAGAGCATCTCATCCCAAAAGAATATACATACTTTTCAAGTGCAGATGGTACGTTTTCTAGGATAGACCCCATGTTACGACACGAAACAAGTCTCAATAAATCTAAGAAGACTGAAATCATACCAAGCATCTTCTCTGACCACAATGCTATGAAACTAGAAATCAATCATAAGAACACTGAAAAACACACAAAGACATGGAAGTTAAATAACATGTTATTAAACAATGCATGGGTCAACAACGAAATCAAGGAAGAAATCAAAAGATACCTTGAAACAAATGAAAATGAGAACACACAATCCACAATCTGTGGGACACAGGGAAAACAATCCTAAGAGGGAAACCCGTCACATTACAGGCTTATCTCAAAAAACAAGAAAAAGCTCAAATAAACAATCTCAGTTTATACTTAAAGGGACTGGAAAAAAGGATGATAGAGCCCCAAGTGAGTAGAAGGAAGAAAATGATAAAGATTAGAGCAGAAATAAATGAAAGAATCTAAAACAACAACAACAAAAGATCGATGAATCTTAAGAGCTGGTTCTTTGAAAAGATAAACAAGATTGACAGACCTTTAACTGGATTCATCAACAAAAAAAGAAAACAAAATCAGAAATGAAAAAGGAGAAATAACAACTGACACCAAAGTAATACAAAGGACTGTAAGGAAATATTTCGAACAAGGACATGCCAACAAACTGGACAACCTGGATGAAATGGATAAATTCCATACACTCTTCCAAAACTAAATCAGGAAGAATCAGAGAATCTGAATAGACAGATCACACCAAGTGACACTGTAGCAGTAATCAAAAACTCCCAACAAACAAAAGCCCTGACCAGATGGCCCCACAGGGAAATTTTACCAAACATTCTGGGAAGAACTAACAACTCAGCTTCACAAACTATTTCAAAAAATTCAGGAGGAGGGAAGGCTCCCAAGCTCACTTTACGAGGCCTGCATTATCCTAATTCCAAAACCAGATAAAGACATTACAACAAAAGAAAATGATAGGCAATATCCCTGATGAACACAGATGCTAAAATCCTCAACAAAACATTAGCAAATCCAATACAGCAATGCATCAAAAAGATCATACACGGTGATCAAGTGGGATTTATTCCTGGGATGCAAGGTTGGCACATTTGCAAATCAATAAATGTTTTTCACCACATAAACAAAATAAAGGATAAAAACCACCTGATCAAATCAATAGGTGCAAAAAAAGCATTTAACAAAATCCAGCACCCATTTATGATAGAAACTCTCAGCAAAGTGGGAATAGAGGAAACATATCTAAACATAACAAAGGCCGCATATGACAAACACAATACCACCATCACATTCAATGGGCAAAACCTATGAGCGCTCCCCTTAAGATCACGAACAAGACAGGGATGTCTGCTTTTTACCTCTCTTATTCAACATAGTACTGGAAGTCCTAGCCAGAGCAATCACACAAGAAGAAGAAGGCATCCAAATTGGAAAGGAAGAAGTAAAACTGACTTTATTTACAGATGACATGATACTGCACAGAGGGAACCCCAAAGATTCCACCAAGAAACTACTAGGACTGATAAGTAAATTCAGCAAAGAAACGGGATACAAAATTAATATCCAGAAATCAGCTGCATTTTTATATGCCAACACAATTTCCCTAACAGAAAGGGAAATTACTACCCAAAGCAATCAATAGATTCAACTCAATACCTATCAAGATTCTGATGATGTATTTCCCAGAACTAGAACAAATATTTCAAAAATTTATATGGAACCACAAAAGGCCCCACATAGCAACAGCGATACTGAGAAAGAATATCAAAGTTGGAGGAATCACATTACATAATATTAAACTATACATGAAGCCATAGTAATCAAAACATCATAGTATTGGCATAAAAACAGACCCATAGATCAATGCAATAAAAGAGAGAACCCAGAAATAAGCCCACACATTTATAGTCAACTAATATTCGACAGACAAAGTAAGCACATACAATGGGCTCAAGACAGTTTATTCAACAAAGTGTTGGGAAAATTGGACAAATACATGTAGAAAAATGAAACTAGGCCACATTTTTAAACCACACACAAGAATAAATTCAAAATCAATCAAAAACTTAAATGTTAGACCCAAACCCTTAAAAATTGTAGAAGAATACATAGGCAGCTAAATATCGTACACTGCTCACAACAATGTTTCACTGGATATATCTCCCCAGGCAAGGGAGACAAAAGAAAAAATAAACAAATGGGACCACATCAAACTAAAAAGGTTTTATTTACAAAGCAAAGAATACATCAACAAAATAAAAAGACAACCCACAGAATGGGAGAACATATTCGCCAACACACCTCTTAAGGGGTTAATATATAAAATGTATAAAGAACTTAAAAACTCAACACCAAAAAAACTCCTCCAAAAAACCCCAAACAATCCAATTAAAAAATGAGCAAAGGACCTGAATAGACATTTCTCCATAAAGGACCAATAGATGGTCCATAGATGGCCAATGGACATATGAAACGATGCTCAACCTCACTAGTCAATACAGAAATGCAAATTAAAACCACAATGAGATATCTTACATTTGTCAGAATGATTATCATCAATAAATTAAAAAAAAACAAGTCCTGTTAAGAATGTAGAGAAAGGGGAACCCTTTTGCACTGTTGGTAGGAATGCAGACTGGTGCACCAACTGTGCAAAGCAGTATGGAGATACCTCAAAAAATTAGAAATGGACGTGCCTTTTGATCCAGCAATCCCACATTTGGCAATATATCTGAAGGAACCCAAAACACTAGTTCCAAAGAACATAAGCACCCCTATGTTCATTGCAACGTTATTAACAATCACCAAGATTTAGAAGCAGCCCAAGTGTTCTCCATCAGTAGATGACTAGGTAAAACAAATATGGGACATGTACACAATGGAATACTACTTGGCTATAAAAAAGAAAATGCTACCCTTTTTGACAGTATGATGGACCAGGAGAACATTATGCTAAGTGAAATAAGCCAGTCAGAGAAAGACAAATACTGTATGATTTCACTTGCATGTAGAATCTAATGAACAAACTGAACTAACAGGCAAAATAGAGGCAGACTCATATATGGAGAGCAGGATGACAGGGCAGGGGTTTGGCGTTAGGGTTGGTTAGGTGGGTGGAGGGATTGAGCAAAAGGAAAAAGGACTCATGGACATGGACAATAGTGTTGTTATTGTGGGGCTTAGGGAGATATAAGGGAACAAAATGGTAATGGAAAAAACACAACTATGATTAAAACAAAACACAGCATACCCAATAACATGCCAGACTAACATCTACAGATTAAGGTACAGACTTTTTAAAATGGAACATAAAAATTTTCCATACCTAGAGGTACTTTTTCCAAATAAAACATGTAGTAGTCATTCTGTAAATGTTTATTAAATATTCATTTTTCAGCATTTAAACAAAGTCAATTCTTCAGTACATAGTTTAGAGACAAATAATGTTAAAGGCTTAAGGGATTAAAAATTTGAGAACTACCATGTAACTATGTTAACAAAGTTATTATGGAAAAATTCACTTACCCAGGACAAAGAAAAGAGGTCAATAAAACATTTGTTTTCCACTTCTCACCTCCAAAGGCTGTAGAAGAAAACAAAAGTGGCATATATACAGACTTTTTTCACATCAATACTCCAGGTCTGGCAATGGACAAACTGTCAGACAGCAATGGGTGCCTATTTGCAGAAAATGACACTAGCAAATGATATATTACTTAATCAACTGATCCAAATCAGAGATGCACATCACAGAACTGCCCTGGGTAAGTGCTGCTCTCAAGATTATTGCTTCAGTATAAAATAAACCTAGTATCAAAGGAAAGTGATCCATACTAGTTTTTTTTTTTCTATTCTTTTTTCTACCTCAAAATAAAACAAACCCTTACATTCTAAGCCAGTGTCAATAATGGGACTCAGTAGCGAAAGGGCACATTGGAGATCCTCGTTTATCTTGTGGTCAGTCTCAGAATTTGTTATAAAACCAAGAACTCTAAATTCTGGTAGGATGAGGGTGGGGATGGAGAGATCAATGTGTCAGATCAGTTGGTTAAGAGAAGACAGGTTATGACCACTTGACAGAACACATTTGTTTATGAACATTTTACTCTCCGTTGCTCCTTTCCTCTCCATTTTTTTCCCAGTTAAAAAGAAAAACCTCAGGTATATAGAGTAAAAAATAAAGAACTCCTCTACTCCCAGTTTAAAAATAGGAGATGAAATTGGCTGAGACCTGAGAACAACTTTAAATTGTTTAAAAAAGTGTTAACATAGTTCATAAGCAAGTACCATTTGCCCTAGAAGAAAATGACAATTTTATATATAATTTGAAGTCACAGGATTATTGATAAAGAGACTTTTGTGAAATTATTAATTTGGGTTTAATATAATTCCAATCAGAAAACAAATAATATTTTTGAAACTTTAGAAATGAATCTATACAATGAAGTATTTTGTGACTAGGGCCATGTAGCACCTCTCAGAATATTCTACCTGATTAATATGCTATTTAATCTGTACCTGAGAGATCTTAAGAATGAAGAGGAGTTAAAGGGGGATTTGTCTGAGATGAGGGAGTATGGATTGGAACTTCATGCAGAGGAAACAACATGTGGAAAGATCCTTTGGAAAGTGTAAAGGTCCACTACCTGACTGAAGAACTGAAAGAAAGTCAGCATAGCTGAAACAGTAAAAAATGGGGAGTTTATGCACAGGCAGGGGTCCAACTATATCTCGCATGTATTAAATACATATGACTACCCTAATTATGTGTCCTTTAGTACAGGATGAAAGAAAAAAAAAACCTGAAAAATTCACAGAATTAAACACACTTACATACACATACATATAGGACTTCATATACTGAGGAGAAAATTCTATCAGACAACGTCTAGGCAACACGTTAAAACCACCTATGTAGCCCTACTGTTTCATGTTTTAGCTCGAGCCTTATTTACACTAACTCTAGCTCTGTCCTATCTCCTTGGCACTTTAACTCACAGATTACCTATGGGACCATCTCAGTGGATTTCAGGATTCCTAAATGAGGCAAACTCTGGCAATCATTGACCCTCGCAAAGCTGCTTTCCAAGTCATCTAATCATAACCCATCCTTTTTCCCACTAAATTCTATTTTTTGAAAGCAAGAATACAAGAGATTGCAACTATGTTACAAAATCACCTTACTTCAGGGCTCTTTAAAATAGTGAGATCTTAGTTTACTTTAAATAGTTTATCTTTATAAATATTAAATTGATATAAGTATGATTTCTCATGTATAAGAAAAGATATTCCTGTATATATTACTTCAGTGAATAAATTGGTGATATCCTTTTGTAGATTTCTTCCTTTATTTGTCTACATATGTTTCCATGAATATAGCAAATCTAAGTTGTTCATGTGACCTTGTTAAAGTGAAAATTAAACAAACAAAAAAAGACAGGGGTTGGTGGACAAAGAGCACCTAAATTTGCTTATTTCACTGTATAAGTATTTTTGAAAAAACAAATCTAGGGACAGTCATCCACTTCACAAGCTTCTTTTAAGTAAGAATATACACCAATAATACATATTGTTTAAGGAGTATCAACAACCAGACATCAAGGCTCAGAGGCACTGAAGTAACAGATTAGATTCCTGATCTGGCACCCAGCTGGCTGGCTTTTACTTACACTTATAGAATCTGGCAGCGACATAGCCTGCAGGTGTACCCAACAGCACCCACAGGACCACAGCACAGGTCATCAGTGCTCCTCTGTTGGCAGGTGACAAAAATCCCAGGCAAGCAAAAACTAAGAAAAAAGTAATTTAAAGTTACAAGTTTTATTTCGTTTCCTTTGTTGTAAAGTGATATAAGACCCTACTCTTTAAAAGTAATGAACACAACTTCCTGAAAATACACTATCTTACCATGCAGTCACACTGAATCTCAGTAATATTTAAGGTACTGCATCAACAGGATTACGTATAAGGCAGCCTTCACTTTGGAAGTTTCTTGTCAGGGTCTGTAAGGCCTCACTTTTCCTGTTATCAGAGGAGACTGACCAGATGCTCCTGAGGGCTTTCAGCTCTTCTAAGATTCAAATACAGCTTTTAAAATTAACATCAATAAAAATATACCAACTATGAAATAGTATCACTCTTTCTTCCTTTTAAAAGGTCCTCTGGGCTGAAAAAAACCTTATAACATTCAAACATGAGACAAAACAGAACCTAATCAAAGAATAAAATAGGAAAAAAAAGATTTCATAGTACCATTAGCTTTTTGAACATAAGTTATTGAAAGACTTGATCAATGACTCAGGAGAATTCTGACTCCTAACCTTATTTAGTTGGTTAGATTTATCTGTTCTTCTCTATATAACCCTCTCTATTAATAAAAATAAAAATATAATCTTATATTTCTAGAGACTTCTAACTTTAAGCTAGGACTCAGAAATTATGATTTGCACAGAAAGTCAAGCGGCTTTCTAATTCCAGGATCAAGAAACTTCCTGGTGTTTCTTCTGGGATGTATATAACCAAGCACACACCCATGCACACCTCTGATCAGGATAGAGGGGCAAGAGGAGAAACTCATGATCAGCAGGAAGGCAGAAAAACAATCACGGTAACATTAGATGTACTAGAATTTCAGCTAAGATGCACTGCCTTCCCCCATCCCCGACCCTCCAGGCCTGAGAAATGGACTGTTCTGAAACGGAAAGTTTATATTCAAGTATTTAAGGAAAATGATCCCAAACATTTCCTGTCCTAGGCTCTCTGAAACTTTCCTTCCTCATAAGTTCATTTCATAGCTGATCCCAGCAAAGTCCAGATGGTGGTAGAAGGCAGCTCCAAATACAATTTTAAAGAATTTTATCCTCAAGCATCCATTCTGCTCTAATGCCACCCTGGCTCCTTGGGAGTCTAGTGCCTTCAGGCTATCCTCTGGCTGTGTGCAGGTTTTCTTCATGACCTCTCCCATACTATCTTCTCCAGTGTACTATACTTACTAATTATAGCCCCACTCATCACAACTGCATCTCTTTATCTAAATAAATATATATGTCCTAGTTAATCTTCATGTTAGTCTTCAAATTGAACCTGGAGGTGTTACTCAGTAGTTCCCAAACTTATTCAGGTGCCAGACATTTCAAAGTGGTAAATCTCTTTGTAAAGTATTTATGTAGTTAATTCCATCATAAAAAATTTAGAGTTTTACTAACAGAAAGTGACTTTACTATTATATATTTAATAAATAGCAAGCATAAGAAATGTTCACTAAAAATTACTAAAAGGTCAGTGGTTTCTGAATTCTTCCAGTAATATTCATTTGTTATTGTTCATCACTAGCAGGCATCAATGGAGGGGGCAAAAAAAGCAAAATTTAGGAAACCCATTATAGCAGAGGAGTAATTGGAAGCTACACTAACCTCCTTCCAGGACCAATCTGGATTACAATTAAATTGTAGAGATATCACTCTGAATAACCAACTGAGAACTAGCTGGAGAGAAACTTGTAACCAAGGAGAGACAGAAGAAACCAGTTCACCACAACATGACTGGTAGGAAGTGAGGAGGTGTGAGAGGGCTGGTGGGCTCACATGGGTGGCAGCTGAAGTTCCAGAGGGATATTTCAGCAGCTGGGGAGTTCTTCCTGAGAAGTGTGCTGTCTAAACCCCAAACTGGGCTTCCCAGGCCACAGCACCAGAGGCAGGAAAATAATCCAGGTAACATCCTTAAGTGAAAAGCAACACATGTTTCTGTCTGCCAGGGAGACATGGCCTCTGAGAGCCTCCAAAAGGGCACAAAATTTCATTTGCAGCCACTTACCCTGGGCTCCGGGAGAGTGCATTAAAGATGCGTGAGGAGAACCTGGGGCTGGTGGCTCTGGGGACTGACCTGAAGAAACAGCTATAAGATCCCTGTGCTGAGTCATTCCCCACACTGCAGAGGCCACCTTTCTCAGAAAAAGCACTACCCTCCAAGTGGCATCAGCCTGAGGGGGACCAATAACTCCATCCTGTGGAACTTAAACCGGCCATATTACAGCTTGGCTATATGGTGGATTAAGTTTAACAAATGAGGCAGCTCTCTGGGAGCTCTGAGACTTTAGCTGACCCTCCCCCAGGTCTGGTGCTGGTAAAAGTGTGCAGCCTCGTTCTTTCTGTACATGCCCAGGCCTAGCAGAGGAAGCCACAAGCTGTGGATTGCTGTTAGCTCCAAACAGGTTGCCCAGGGCCAGGGCAATAAATAAAAAAAACAAGTGCTGTTAAGAATGTAGAGAAAGGGGAACCCTTTTGCACTGTTGGTAGGAATGCAGACTGGTGCACCAACTGTGCAAAGCAGTATGGAGATACCTCAAAAAATTAGAAATGGACGTGCCTTTTGATCCAGCAATCCCACATTTGGCAATATATCTGAAGGAACCCAAAACACTAGTTCCAAAGAACATAAGCACCCCTATGTTCATTGCAACGTTATTAACAATCACCAAGATTTAGAAGCAGCCCAAGTGTTCTCCATCAGTAGATGACTAGGTAAAACAAATATGGGACATGTACACAATGGAATACTACTTGGCTATAAAAAAAGAAAATGCTACCCTTTTTGACAGTATGATGGACCAGGAGAACATTATGCTAAGTGAAATAAGCCAGTCAGAGAAAGACAAATACTGTATGATTTCACTTGCATGTAGAATCTAATGAACAAACTGAACTAACAGGTAAAATAGAGGCAGACTCATATATGGAGAGCAGGATGACAGGGCAGGGGTTTGGCGTTAGGGTTGGTTAGGTGGGTGGGGGGATTGAGCAAAAGGAAAAAGGACTCATGGACATGGACAATAGTGTTGTTATTGTGGGGCTTAGGGAGATATAAGGGAACGAAATGGTAATGGAAAAAAATAAACTTTCAGAAACTAACTAAATAAATAAATGCAAAATTTAGAAAATTTTATTCATAAACATTTTTTTTCTCTTAAAATTAGGAAAACTGGAAGACCATGGAAATAATGTGTCCCCAGAGAGTAGTTAACAGAACCACTCCTGTGGCCAATCTATAACTCAAGCTTCCTGTCCTACCCACTCTTCTTTTATCTTTGAAGGCAAGAATGTCTTGGCTTCCTAGTTATACTGCTGCTGGTAGAGTGGGATTGTCAACCTGTGTAACCCTGGTTCTGAGCTGCCCAGACTCAGACCCATATAGTGTTTCAGGACTCAGTTCTCTCTAGCTCCAGTGCTGCTGTGACAAAGGCTCACTCACTATGCAGATGAAGAGAGATATGAAGAATCAGCTTTTAATCCTACCTCAAGTCGAGTACAGCCAGAACACAAATTTGAATGCCAAAAACCTCTTACACACAAACTAACCTAGCCATCTCACTTAGGAAAACTGGTTTTCAAATAATTACTTAGAAAAATATTTTCTATTTAATTTGCACTTAACACTTACACAGAGTCACAAATGTCATAATTAAAATCTGTGTTCCTGATCCTAGAAAGACTGATAACAGCATCCCTTTTCTTGGAGGACGGAATATATCACCATGAACTAGTTTCCAGCCAAATTCTTCCTGGGCATCCTCCTAAAAAGGGAATGAAATCATTTGTCATGTCACCAAGAAAACTACCTAGTTTATTCATTGATACAGAAACACTTTTAAAAACATACATATGTTAATACTTATTTCAATTTTGAAGCATCAAGTTTGCACAGAGCTTTATGATTTTCCTGAACTGTTTTTAAAGGAATGCTATGTGTTAAAGTCTGTAAGCATAATTATAGAGAAATCTGGAAGGAAATAACAAAGATAATGTGATACCTACCCCTAGTTCTACTCTAAAGCTTTATGATCCAACTTAATGTCCTAATTTTTAATCACAGTCTACCCTTTTCAACCTACACATTAATTTCCAAAGTAAATTAGGTCTCATAGCCACTTTGCTGGTACAAAACACTTTCACATACAATGGGAATGAGAGGCTACCTGATCATTTACAAAGAATGTACAAATTGAAGTTTTATTAAAAGTACAAGGGCTCTAAGTGGAGTAAATAAAATTGTATTTGGGATTGACTTCAAAATAACTGAGGTGGGGGTAGCAGGTGCGATTCTGTAGATAAAACTGAATATGAGTTGGTAACTACTGCACCAAGGTGATAGGCATACTAATCTCCTTGTTAGTATGAATGTGTTGAAAATGTAAGGGGAAAAATATATGCACCCCTTCTTTTAGGTGAGGCAATATATTAAATAGACAAGGAACCATTTCTGATTATTTTCTTTTTAAATATACTAAAACATTCAAAGAATGTAAGAAAATGAAGTTTTCATTAGAGAGCCAGGTCTCCTTTCCTGAAGCAAACAAATGTGCCCAGTTTCTTATTATACTCACAGAGATATTCTACCTATATTTAAGCAAATGTATGAATACTGATAAATGCATGAATACTAATAATATCATGGAAATACTTCCACATCTGTATATACAGAGTTGCCACATTCTTTTTAATGATTATGTAGTATTCCACTATATAAATATTCCATAACTAAAATCTTCTATTATGAACATATTATGAACATACATTTATTATTTAACATAAAAAATAACAATAATAGTAAAATCCTTTGTATCTAGATCAGTTTCTACAAATGAAATTGTTGGGTCAAACTACATTAGAAACTAATATTGCCAAACTGCCTTCCATTAAGTTATAACAATTTACTTTTTCATAAACTATATATCAAAATATTCTTGTCCTCAATGCCCCAACACATTATTATATCAAACATTTTAATTTCTGCCAATGCACCAGGTGAACAATCTTGCACTGCAGTTTTAATTTGCATTTCTCTTATTTAGGAATGATGTTGTATCTTTTTATATGTTTCAGAGCCACTTGTATTTCTTTTTTATGGATTTTTCTCATGTACCTTGCCTCATTTCTTACTGAATGGTTGACTATTTTCTTAATGACTTTAGGATTTTTTTATTTAGCAAGAAGTTAAACAATTTGTATGTGACAGGTATTAAAACATTTTCACATTTAAAATTTATCTTTTTATTTAATGGTATTTTTTGCTATTCAGATTTTTAAATGTAGCAATCATTTCTTTTATGGCTTCTGGCTCTCAGTCATGCTTATAAAATTCTAGTCTTCTCCAAGATTTAAAAATAACTTCCTATGTGTTCTACTATTTCACAGATTCACAATGTCATTTTAATCATTATTTCAACATAAGGAATAAAGTTAATTTCTGCCTTGTTTTTTCCCAGCTAACCACTCATTTTATCAAACACAATGTATCTACTCTTTTTTTAATCTACTTTTGTTAATGTCTAATTTTAGACTCATTACTATTACATACAAAAAACGTTCTCTTGGAATTTTTTGATTTACCAATCCTTTTAAATCTCTCTTTAGGACCGGCTTTTATTTATTATTATTTATTTTTTGATAAAGTATTTCTATAGCAATTCTTTCAGTGAAGGCCTGTTTGTGGTCAACTGTTTTATTAATTTGAAAAAAGTATTTCACCTTTATTCTTAAAAGACAGCTTCTCTGGATATGTGATTCTATGTAAACAGTTAATTTCTCTCAGCAATTTAAAGGTATTATTTTGTCTCTGAGCTTCTATTTCTAATTTGTTTATTCTCTGCAGATGCTCAAATCTTTTCTTCCTCTGGCTGATTTTTGTCATGGTTGATCTAGATGTGGATTTCTTTTTATTTATTCTGCTTGGAATACACTGTTTCCTTTATCTATGGACTCTTACCTTTCATCTGTAAAACTCCTCGCTATTATATTTTTGTATATTTTATACTCTGTAACTAATACTTCTAAATATCTGATATCTTGGTGGGAGGGGGTTAAATCTGCGGTTTATTGTGAACTTTTTTTGTGGATTTCTGCTAATAGACAATTTCATGGATCTTAAATTATAGGAATCTTGCAGCTTAATTTGGGAAACTTTCCTTCAGACAATTTCTACTTGAATCTGCCAAGAATCAGAAGGCACTTATAAAGCAGAATGATTTTGCTCCCCATCAAGAATCTAGGCTTAACAGAGGAAGAAATTGAAGTTCAGCTCCCTCACTAATGATCTACGAGTTAGTCTCCCAATTGGTTGAAGATTTTATATAAGCATTGACCTAAAGGAGAATTTCAACCTCTCATGCTTGTGTTGTTTCCTGCTCTCGCCTCAGCTCACTTTTTTGCACAGGTGTAGTTGGGGCGGGGGGGCGGTCCTTCGATATGTTTCTTACCTATCTTGAGCTCAGTATTGCACCAACAAGTCTGGCACATAAAGGGCTGACTTGTTTATTCATTTATTCATTCAATAAATCTTTACTCAGCACTAATTATATGCTCAGCACTGTTCAAAACACCAGTGATACCACAGTGATTATAACAGAAAAATCTCTCTTTTCATAAGTATGTTTTCTCTTTGGGAAAGCAAACAATAAACAAAACAAGTAAATAAAATATACAGTACATTAGATGGTGTTTAAGTGCTATTGAAAAAAATTAAGTATGGATGTGTATGTGGGGCAGAGAACATGTTATTTTAATGGAATGGTCAGAAAGATTTCACTGGGAAGATCGTGTTTTAGTAAAGACATGAAAGAACTAAGGGAGCTAACCATGTAAATATTTGAGGGGTGAACATTTGACGTAGAGAGAAAAACAAGTTTAAAGGCCTTGAGGTGGGAACATGCTTGATATGTCTAAGGAATAGCAAAGTGGCCAGTATGGCTGGTGCTGAGCTCCAACAGGTACTGCAGGGCCTTTTAAACCACTGTAAAGACTCTGGCTTTCACTCTGAGTAAAACAGGAAACCATTGGAGGGTGGTGATCGGGAATAAAATGATCTGATTTATCTCTAACCAGTAAGAAACTGGAGGGAGGGAAAGAATGGTAACAACAATGGAGAGAGGGTTGCCCTGACATGCATCCTATGGCACACTCTGATTAAATTAAGAAAAATGCCATTAACCAAATGATAACTTAGAAATGCCAATTGTGAAGAGTACCCTGAAATTATTTTAATAAAATACTTTATAAAACAATTAATAAAAATCATGACAAAGGATTATAGAGTAGAAGTGCTAAGAAGCTTATAAATATTCACATGTTCTTTTTCTTGCCCTGACTGGTGTGGCTCAAAAGGCTGGGCTTCACCCTATACACCAAAGGTTACCAGTTCGATTCTTGGTTTGGGCATGTGCCTGGGTTGTTTGTTCCATCCCCAGATGGGGGTGTTCTGTCCCCAGATGGGGTATGCATGAGAGGCACTGATGAATATTTCTGTCTTTCCCCTTTCCCTCTCTCTAAAAAATAAATAAATAAAAATAAATTTAAAATATATTCTTTTTCTAATTAGAAGAAGGCTAAAAGGTTGAGGGGGAAAGGGTAAGAAGCTGAGGAAGAGAAAACAATAGAAATCTGAGCTTTTTTTTTGTATTTCTGACAAGTCATTGTGGTTCTTACGGAAATTTTGTTAAAAAGCTGCTATGAAATGAAAAGCTACAAAATGTATCAACATTATGCAACTTAAAATGTTTGAGGATGAGTAATACTGGGACATTAAATTATTTTGAATATACCAAAAGGTTGAAATGATAAAAATTCAGTTAAAATTAATTTTTTAAAAATTAAATACACATACAAATAAAAACTGTTTGGGAGTTATTCCACTCAACTTTGCTATTTTGCCCATTGGGTTGTATACTGGGAATGGAGAATCTGAAAGCGTTGAGAGCATGTAAGTGAAAAAAGATAACAGAACTAGAACTGTGAACCTATACCCATTCTGCACCAACCTATTGACACAGATAAGGGTGTGAACAATTCAGTTCTGAATGCTATGGTGACTTTCTAGAGACTACCAATTCTTAAAAATCATTTTCCTATTTGAAAATGTGAATTCAGGGTAACTTTTGAGGAGAATGTTTTAAGGGCACATTCTATCTAAAGCTATTATTTAAACCCTTTCCATATCAGGGAGGATCACTCTGTAAAGTACATGATTGTCTAATCACTATGCTGTATACCTAAAACTAATGCAAAGTAACACTGAATATAAACTGTAATTGAAAAATTAAAAAAAAAAAATCTTCCAAAGAAAATATAAAGACTATGCTTGGAAGACTGAAGAACAGTTCAAATGTTTCACTCACTGTAGAATCCATCTGATTATATCTGGCAATATCTTTATGCAGTGTCCGTAGCATAATCATAGCCACCATTCCAGACAAGAAAAGGACAATGACCAGGGAATTCATAATGCTGTAGAAATAAGAATGTGAGAATTAATCTGTAGCTTAATCTTTGGAACAGTGAAACTCATTTTTAAATTGTTTATTGAGTAACATTAAAACGGCATTTTTCAAAATCAAAATTTTACCTAAAATTCAACAAATTCAATGAACTGCTATGTTCTGCTGTGTCCTTCTAGTGGATACTTTATATATTTATAATATAGTTTTGTGGTCTGTTGAGAACTAGAATTATTTTTGTACATGGTCAACATTATTAAATAACTACTGTGCCTACATCAGTGCCAACTCAAGCAGCAAGAATCAACAAAGGGCTGATCTTTCTCTCAAGAAATTTACTGAAGAACAAATTTACTCAGTAAATTAATGAATATCAAAGGATGGTTGGCAAAGTATGAAAAGCAGAGTAACAGCACCATGAAACAGCTCTCTGGATAAAAGATTGAAAGAGTGAATAATAATAAATAAATAGTTGTAACACTAGCAGCAGCTTGTTTATCGTGCACTCTTCCTTTCTAGGTAAAGTGCTCAAATGCTCTGTTCCACTATCTCCTTTAATCTTCAAAACAGCCCCACAAGGCAGGTATTTCTACATAAAGAAATGGACTGCGTAAAATTGAGTGATATGGCCTGACTCATAACCAGTAACTTAAATCTAGGATTGAACCCATCTGATTCAAAAGGCTAGACTTTTGAATAACTGAGGATTAGAGAGTCAATTAGATGTTCAAAGGCACAAAGAGTAGAATAAGTACAAAGCATAAAAAGCAGATTAATATGTAACCTTACCTAAACCACTGAATGTGGGTATGAGGCATAGATTCCAGAATATAGTCCCATCTAGATGCCCACCTGATCTTTTTATCTTCCTACAGACAAAACAAAACTCTTTAAACAAGCATTTCCTGATAAAGTATATTAAGAATCCAAAAATTTCCATTCTCAGCTTGACCTTCCATTAAGTCAACAAATGCATTTTCTCCTTATCATAACTTGGGTTGGCCATGAGATTCAGGGAGTTCCAATTTGCACAAGTCTCAGTAAAAATCAGGATAAGATTAAATAGTAAATAAAAAATAAAAGTTCCTAAAGATACTAGTCACTTGTTTTTTTTAAAATTCTTGCTTTGAATTTTAAATAGTAAGGGTTATTTCAGATGCCAAAAGTTAGGATTATATTTAATTTTTTCAGAAAACTGAGTGGAATAACTTACTTGCTTTGACACCATCTATCTACGCCTCTGAGACACATAACTAGGCCAGAGTCATTACCTGGGTACACTGAACATCTGGCAGGTGAACTCCCACTGAGCTTTTAATACCCAGAAAGAAATATATATTGTATACTGCTCTAGGCATACAGAATTACACACCATATAGAGATAGTTAAGTGTCACAACTATATTGGATTGCAAAAATAATTCATTAAAAAGAGGTGGAATATTGCCTAAGATCCTCATAAAATAAACTTCTACTTTCATCTTTAAAAACTTCCCCATTAATAAAAGCCCTTCCTTGAATTCTCTAAGAACCTATATAAATCATCTACCACCAGGAAATTCTCCATTAAGTATATAGTCAAACTCAGATTTTGAAAATAGTGTTGTTTCCCCAAATGCTTGTAGCATGTATCTTTGGCAACTTCACAACCATTTTCTATGCCTATTTGTCTTATATGTATCTCTTATGGCTTCATACTTAGTCAGGCTCAATTCTCCAGGTTCCTATCCTTCTCATTTAAATGAAGGTTTAGTTTCCTGTGTGATTGATTATGCTGCCTCATGAACTGACAAACTATTCCAAAAATCAGCTCATTAAAAGCTTATCTATTTGACAAACGTAATCATTAATATTTTAATTAGCTTAAGTAGTATGAATTCAAAATCAATTTCTGAGTTACAGTAAAGATAAAAACAAACTCACCTCGAAGCTAACAGAATAAGTATAGGCAATTTTAATCTCCCCAGAAGCCTGGTTACTTATATCCATGGGGGGTCCAGAGCAGTCTGGTTTATCTATATGGGTATGTTTGAAACTGTGGGAAGAAACATTTTGGCAAGATGCTGATAAAGTAGTTTTTAAAAAATGGGGCAAAGTAAAGGTTAGAGATTTTGTACATAGTTCACAATACTGCTAATCAAATGTGAAATTATTCATGTCACACTTAATAGTACAAACATTTACTTCATGCAAATAAGGGGCTTAGTTATAAGAATCTGTACAAATTATTATTCAAAATTAGAAACAAACTTTGAAAACATGCACTTAAAAAGCTTTAAATAATCTTAAAAAAAACAAACAAACAAACACTGAGAGAGTTTAAATCAAATGTCATCTTATTATATTGCATGCATTTCTTTGCCACCAGTGAAAATGGCTAACTCAACTGGCGGGCAGGTGGGGAAAGGTTGTGTGTCATGGACAAAAATGGAACGCTCAATCAAAAAAGGACCTCACAAATAACCGATAGGTACTTTCACCCCCCCAAAAATTGGAAAGCTAAAGAGATGCCCTTTTAAAGACTTGTCACATACTGGCATCTGAAACTGCATGGAGACCTTCAAAATGACAGCACAATTCAGCTTTTTTGGGCCTATGATGGAAGTCTAGTTGCAAATATCTGAGGCAATGCTTTTCCATTGTACAAGAGAACTCTGTTCCAACCACCTCCCATTCTCCATTGCAAGCTGACATGGAAAAGTTGTCAAAACTTCCTGACCAAAAAACAAAACAAAAAGGGCACCTTGGCTTGACTACTTTACCAGACAGGAAAAAAACCCATAACTCAGTAACAAATTATGCTAAAGGGAGTTTTAGTAAAAGCAGTCCTGAAATGCCAGATTATATGCTAAACTAGTGATTAAGGAAAAAGTTAATTAGACCCAAAATATTTATTCTTTGGGTTTAAATTTCACTTATATTTATCTACTTTTTATGTTTATAAGTTAGTTACCTTTTAGGTTCAAGTTTAGCAGCCACTAATCTTGCTCCCATGGACCCCGTTTCAACAACATGGTAGTATATTTTGATGTCAACATGGTTGAAGATGTAAAATGTATCTCTTTCATGGAATTCTGACTGTGGAACAGAACTTAAAATTAAAGGTAGAAAACTGGCTATATGAGTCAAAACATTAAAAAATTTTAAAGTGAGTTATAATAAGTAGGAAAATTACCACTTGGACAGGATTTTAATCCCTCCCAATAAAAATATTCAAGTTTTAAGCTTAAACTCTTTATAAACTAAAACTAATTGGCAGAGATACAAATTGTACTTCTTTAATGTTTTAATTCTTACATAAACTTATTAAGTGCTTGTTAAAAAGAATACATCCACTATTTTCTAGCTTTTCACCACAATATAATTAACAAAATAAATTTTAAAATATTACATTATAAGTATCCAATAACCTAAGTTATTTACATGTCCCTGGTCAACACTCACAAAAGCATTAATATAACCAATTTCATGATCAAGTTCATGCTAACTTCTACCAAGTCATATCACTAAGAGATTAAGTCAGGGTGACCTGATTATACAAAATTTAATTTAATATAAATCCCCAATTATTTTAATCACTATCTACATTAATGTCTTCACTTTATTATTCTGTTTTAAAGAACAAAATAATGGCCTCAAAGACAGATACCTTCTTTAAAAAGTATAAAACCAAGCTTCTACAATACAATATTTTATAGACTTAAATTTTCAATACAAATTTCATGGACTTACAGTGAGGTATTTTTGGCACTATACTATCTACATATTTTTATATATAAGATTTATGAATCTAACTTTTGACAGAATCAGAACATAGAAAGTCCTAGCCCTTGGCATAGTGCTTAGCATATATCATCAGACAGTCTCAGTAAATGTTGAATTAAGTCTGAATTATTTTTGTTCTAGAGTTAAATTTGTACACTGTTAATCTGACTTAGGTTAAGATCTACATAGTTGTACTTTTCAAAACATCTGAGATGCATTCATTTGATGACTATGACAATTTCTGTCTGGTAAAGACTGAGTCCTTCTACCAAGAAGCCATATTTTGAAAAGAAGCATAGAGTTTATCACAAACTTACACTGATAACACAAGCATCTTTAGCTCGGCCTTTATCTGTAATGTAACAGCCAATAGGAAATCCAGGATTACAGAACTTCTGACTGTCTTCAACTTCATAACACCATGTTACAGGCATATTATCCACAATCCTACACACAGAAATAAAAATCAAGTTAGAAATCACTAAAAATAAATAAGAATTACTGCCCAAACATGTCATCATTTCATAAAATTTAAATGTCTATAAATACCTTAAGATGTCAAACTACAAAGAATTTTAATAAAATGTGGTATTTCACAAGTAATAGCATTATGCTAATATCTGATACACTGTAGTAAAGAAAAAACTTTACAGCTGAAACTATAAATGCATGTAGGAAAGAAAGTTCAGTTAATTTATTGCAATTGCAAATTTAACAATATCATTATCTAGACACCTAAGTATATTTTACTGTTAGCAGAACATTCAAAAGCTCTAAAATAGGTGCAAAGCAATATATCTGGTACCTCAGGAAAAATTTATACAACAGTATAGAAGAAAATGTCATTTATTACTCAGGCAATTCAATAAAAAGGAGAATATAATTGAAGGATATAGGAAAATATCCAATGTAAGGGCCACACCGTAAAGTGAAAATTATAGTATTATCTATTAAAACTGTGTAAATCCAACTTATATCTAAAAAAATACTGCGATAAAACTAGAGAAACAAATCTTACAAATTCTATAGTTTTAAAAAAAGCTTTTTAAACAAGAAGGGATAAAAGTAAAGAATAAAGTTCTGTAGCATTGTATAAAGTCCAAGTATGTGGTCTCCTATGACTAGAGCACACTGCAGGATACAAATAAAAAAAATTACTAAAAAATACTAGCTGTATTACAGTCAGAAGACAACACTCCAGGGCATGTTTTATTTGTTAATTAATGTATGCCTTAGGAAGTAAAACTATGATTTTATATTCCCTCAAGGTGAACATTAATGACCTAATAAAACATGTCTCGTCACATTTAAATGCTATTTAATAGTACCTAATGTACCTAGTATTAGAATCACCTATACTATTAAATCGCTTATTATTGTAACCAGCAGGCTAATGGTTTCCATGAAAAAACTGTAAGATATTAGAAGCATTAAAGCAATGCTCTATAATATAAATAATTCAGATTTTCCTGGAGGCCTAAAGAACTGGTTAATTGCTTTAATTTTTTAGTGGATGAGCTTCAATCAATGAACATATACTATCAACATATTAAATATATTTATGCTATCATATCAAAGTACTGCATAAAACTTATAGTGCTAGTTACAGAATGAGAAATTAAGTGGCAATTTAGGTTTTTTAAAAAGCAAGCATACTAAATGTATCATTTATTTGATTACTTGACACAATAAACCTTTTCCTGGTAATAAAAAGAATGAAAACAAACCAACCAATCAATAAACCCCTAGAAATAAATGTATGAAAGTTTAAAGAACATAATTTTCAATTTCTGCTTTGCTTGCTAAATAAGGGAGTAGTAGTTATTTGCATTTATAAAACAAAAAATATTAATATCATATTTTCAATCTGATATAGTGAGAAAAAGAGTACAAGTAGAGGACTCAAAAAGATAAAGATGACTAGACCCAGGGTTTTACCATTAAGGACTCCTTTCCATTATTTCCCTCTAGCCTCCACAGGTTCCATTTGAAAAGACGTCTATCAATCAAACTTCATTTATTAATAACTCACTTTCCCAATAAATTAAATTCCCAGATTTTCTGATTAGAATAGAATAATCCATGCTGCTAAAAGACATTCAGAAAATTGCAACCAAAAACAAAGAAAAGTTGGCATCTAAGTTATTCTATGTAGCTTTAACCTAAGTAAATTTACATTATCTGTCAGGATTTTGAATTGCTAAAAATAGCACATATCCCCCTTTGCTTGCTTGGTGGGATTCACAGTTGGAATTCACTAGATTAGAAATCTTCAAGACCTCTGGCCAGTGTGGCTCAGTGGTTGGAGCATTGGCCTTTAAACCAAAAGGTCACAGGTTCAATTCTCGGTCAAGGCACATACTTAGGTGGTAAATTCAGTCCCTGGTTGGAAGCTTGTAAAAGGCAACCAACTGATGTTTCTCTCCCTCCCTTCCCCATTCTCTTAAAAAAAAAAAAGAAAGAAAAGAAAGTCAATAAGCACATCCTTGGGTAAGGATTTAAAAAAAATCTTCAAAGACTCTTTTCTGTTGAAGAAGCTATGGCCCAGTGATTCTATAATACTAAGAAAATTTAAGTGGTCTGATAACTAGTCAAAGATTTATACTTTTATAAAATATCACAAAGATTTGGAAACACAGGCAAGAAATATAATCAGAAACCATGTAGAGCAGTAGTCTGGTGCCCAACCTTTTTGGCATCACGAACTGGTTTCAAGGAAGATAGTGGGTTCAGGTGAGCTTCACTGTCTTACCCCTCTGCTGTGGATGAATGGGGGAAGAGAGCTGCAGGGCAACAGGAGGCGGAGCTCAGGGGAGCTCAGGTTCCTAACAGGCCTGGTTTCTAACAGGCTATGGACCAGTATAAGCCTCTGGTGCTGGTATCAATACACTAGTCAGTTTCAAATCTAGAAATAACTTAGGTTACTGACGTAGTAAGCTAGGAAGTTCCTCAAATTATGTTCTAAAGTCGCAAATAAGAATTAAAAGTATTCATCAACTTAGAAAAAAATTAACTATTAGGCTGGTGTAGCTTAGTGGATTGAGCACCGGCCTGTGAACAAAAGGGTCTCCAGTTCTATTCCCAGTCAGGGCACATGCCTGGGTTATGAGCCAGGTCCCCATTAGGAGGTACGCAAGAGGCAATCACACTGATGTTTCTCTCCCTCTCTTTTCTCCCTCCCTTCCCCTCTCTAAAAATAAATAAATAAAACCTTTAAACATTAACTATTAAATTTTTATTTTCTATTCTATTCTCAATGATGATAACAAGTTGGTACATTAATATTCAGTCATTTTAATCATTCAAAAGATAGTATGATTAAAATGAGGAAAAATTATAGTTCATTCATGCCATAAAATGCTATATAACCATAAAAAGAATGAGGTAGATATTGATCTACAGACATGTTTTACATGGAAAAATGCCAATATTTTCTTAAATGAATGAGCAAGTTGCAGAATAATGTATATAATATTTTGATTGCATTATTTAAAAAATGTACACACCTTTTCATATACCTGCATATATATAGAAAACCTGGAAACATATACAATAACAGCGCCACCTGAGGAACAGAGGAGACTTACTTTTTTATTTAATATTTTTCTGCACTGCTTAAGTTAGAAAATGAATACACTCTCCCCGACATATCTCACTGCAAAGGTTAACAAGACATGCTGCATTCACAATAAAATTCCATAATAGAACACTACTTTTTTAGATCTTTTATTTTTATTTTTAAGATTTTATTTATTTGTTTTTAGAGAGAGGGGGAGGGAGGGAGAAAGAGTGGAAGAGAAACATCAATGTGCAGTTGCCTCTCTTGCACATCCCCTACTGGGGATCTGACATGCAACATAGGCATGTGCCCTGACTGGGAATCGAACCAGCGACCCTTTAGCTCACAGACCGGTGCTCAATCTACTGAGCTACACCAGCCAAGGCATATTTTAAAAGTTAATGCTTTTTTATCCCTATCAACTCTGTCATCTGTGCTCAAAATCAAGTTACACAGTAAAAACTTTCTGAAATAAGTCAAAGACAGAAATATACTCAACTCAGAGTTCAAATAAATTCATCAAAGTGAATCAACACTTTCCAAAGTGTGTAATGAACTGACTTAAGGACTAAAGCCCACTGCCTGGAATTATCAGACTTGTGATTTGTAATATGGCTTAGATTTTTTTGTTAATGAATTCAGAATTGAAATCATAAACTTTTTAGATTCAACTACAAAATCATTATCCATCAGCACCTTTCCAGTTTATGTTTTGGGAAGACTAGTTTAAGTTTGCAACTGACACACCTATCAAATTGTTTAATAAACTGTACTAATGCTTTCTAACTTTGTAAGCTATTTCAAATTATTCATTCTTTTTTGTTATTAAGCATCTTGGCATCAAAACAGTACCTATCCTAACTGCATCATAAATTAGTTAAAAATATTTCTAAGTACTTCACTGTGAGGAAGTTACTGAAGAGCTGCTTCTATTAACATTAGGAGCAAGAATCTATCTAAACAGTATTCTAAGAGAGGATAAAAGAGATAGCTAAAAATTACCTGCAGGCCTTAAGGGCCATTCTTTCATTCGATCAACAAATAAGCAGCTGTTAGAGAAAATGGAAGTGAATGGGGCTAATATGTAAATGCAAGAACTGAGTCTTAAATCTGATTTTGAAGGCTGTAAGGACAGATTTGAAGCAAAGAGAAAACACTAAGGGAAATTTCAATTACTTATAAATAAATGAATATATCCCAAGTTATATCAAATCAGCAATTAAGTAATATTCTCATAGTAGCTTAGAGGAAAAAAGCTCTTGTCTTAACAGAAACCAAAGAAATGAGATAGAGGAGAATTTCAAGTTCCTGTTTGCACTAAGGGTCACATAAGAAAAAATGTGACACAAGCACAATGTGCAAGTTTCCTTCCTTCTAACAGAGCTCTTCTATGAGAAACTCATTTCTGTGTGGTTTAGGTATGTACTACCCAGGGAATCAGAATGAATCCCCTTAATCACAGACTAGTACATGAATGGATATCTGACCAAAGGTGGCCCCTCTTTATGACTTTTTTGATCTGTGTATATGGAAAGGAGGAGGCAAAAGAACTGAGGGGGGAAGAGAAGATGAGTTATTCCAATCATATTATTTGAGCCACAGGATCTGGTCATGTCCAAACTGAGATCTATGGTTCCTAACCTCTCTGAGTGTGGGCAAATGAGTCAATCTGAGATACTGATGGGACAAACATTCAAAAAGAAGTTCATGAAGATAGTCATCCTGTTCACCAGCTGCAGCACCTTATACTTTTTAGAAGAGGCAAAACATGTAAACCACAAACCTACATATAACAGAGACATCTGTTGGCAAACTTACAGAAAAATAACAACTGTTGTATTTGAAAAGTTGGGTTTTGATAGTTCACATACTGTATAATAAGTAAATACTACTTTGGAAGCAGAAATGCTATTTAAATGCTTTTGATTATGACACAAACTGGTAAAAACCTTGTTAGTATTATACCATGTTTATAAAATAAAAGACAGGATACATAAAATAGAAATATTTTATTTAAAGTAAATGCTATTTATCAAACATCAAACAAAAGTTAAATTTGGTTTTCTAATGGTCTTTCTCATGGTGTACAAATACAAAATAACAATATTTTTCTAGAAGATTGATCCAGGTACTTTCCCCAAAGCATATATATATTCATGTCAATTATACATGAAAAAAAAAGAAGTGTTCTATGTATCAAAACAAGTACCAGATATTAAAGTAATCTAAGCACAATTAAGAGAGAATAATTCAAGCTGTCAACTTCAGCAATCCTCTCTCAAGAAAAAGTCACTCTTTCATATTTCTAATAATAAAAAAATTAAATCAACTAATATGTTATACTTTACAGAGTCAATGAAATAAGTTATACATTCAGTGAAACATGGTTTCATCTTAAAAAGGAAGAAGTTGAAAATCCAAAATCTCCGTATCTTACCAGTGATGTTGATAATTCAGCAGCATGCTTTTTTTCAAGAATTCTAACTTTTGTTTGTCTTCGGCTTTCTCTGTATGGTATACTTTTGTACAAACAAGTTTACAGGTCTCCTCCTTATTAAATGTAAACTGTATTAAAATAAAGTGGAAAGCAAATTAAGTAAAAATACCCAGAGTTAAAATACTGGTCTCATTAATTACTTTAATGTATTAATATTGATAATAACATTTAAAAATTTGTCATAGCTCAATCAAATTTAAAGTCACTCTGTTTCTCTAAAACCTTATCATCTAATTAATATCACCCCAATAAATTCAACAAAAAATGTTTAATTAAAAAAATTATCTTCCTTTAGATAAGTAACAGTTTTTATTTTTATCTTTTAGTATTTTAGTCAACCCACCTTCTAAATGTAAATGAGTCCTATAAGGCAAACAAATAAAACCTACATGCAGAATAAAATGGATCAGTTTCTCTATATTGATGTCTCCTGACAATGATTTAGAAATTATAGATTTGAAGGCTTTCTATCATAGTAATAAGCAGACAAGTGTTTATGTACCTATATTCATCAGGTGGATATATGTTTAGTGTCCCCTCCAGTCAGGTAATGGAGATTCAATAATGAATAATATGAACTGTGATGTTACAAGTCTAATTTGGATGTCTAAAATCAGGATAAACATGGTTTTTTTACTCACATTTGAAATAATTTGCTAATTTTGGGGATCTAAAGTTGAAACAAAAATTGACTTACTAATCAACTTACTAATAAAGTTGAAACAAAAACTGATTAATTTTTTTAAATCAAAGTTTAAAAACTCCTAGCCCTGGCTGGCATAGCTCAGTAGACTGAGTGTGGGCTGTGAACCAAAGTGTTGCAGGTTCGATTCCCAGTCAGGGTACATGCCTGGGTTGCAGGCTATGACCCCCAGCAACCGCACATTGATGTTTCTCTCTCTCTCTTTCTCCCTCCCTTCCCTCTCTAAAAATAAATAAATAAAATCTTAAAAAAAAAAACAAAAACTCCTTAAGGATTCATCAATTTTAGAGTCTAGGATTTATTTCATGTGTATAAAAATAATGATATTCACAACATTTATATAATGTAGGTTTATTTTATCAAGACTCACTTAGGTCTTAATTTAAAAAATATATTTCCTAGTATTCTAAAGGCTGTAACTTACTAAAATAACTACATAGAGTTCATAATTGTTTACATTTAAAAAATCTGAATTTCATTACAGGGGGTAAAAAAATCTATATATGTTTCACTTCTAAGTAGACCATCCTTTTATACATAACTTATTAAAATCCCTACACTAGTTTCTGTGCACCTACTGACAAACTTTTCCAGTGTGGCCCACTGCTGCCACTTATCAGCCAAGAGTTTCATTCTGGTTGCATTACTAGTTCTGTAAATATACAATATTTGCGCAATTATTTAATATTGTTAACTTTATATAAACCTTAGAGGTTCCTTTTTAAAGAATGGAAATTAAAAAACAACAGTATACATCGTAAGGAAACAGAGGGATAGGTGTCAAACTTAAATTAAGCAGAAACAGGCATTGTAAGTTATGCCAAAAGTGGTATATCTTATACCTCAATCCAGTGCTCACTGGGTTTAGGAAAGTCAATTGTGTGTTTAACCATGAAGGAAAATAAATCCAAAGATGACATTTAGTCATGATAATTAATACTTATTTATTACCTCATGGAATCTTCCCAACAATGCTAACAGGTAGTTTCTTTATTGAATCCTCATCATCCTGACCTATTAACACAGAGTACTCCAAGGCTCAGTTCTTGCAATTCTTCTCTTCATTATCTGTACCCACTCTTTTCGGGACCTCATCAATTCCTGGTTTTAAATACCATCTATACACTGATACTAGGCTGAACCCCTCCTCCAAACTCCAGACACATATATTCAACTGTTAACTCAACACCTAATGTACGTACACCTCATACTTACTACGTTCAAAGCTGTTTCCCTTCCCCTCACACCTACTCATTCCACAGGCTTTCCATCCTAGAAAACAGAAACTCCAGCACCCACCCCCCAATCCCATCCCTCAGCAAATTCTGGTGGACTTACCTTCAAAATATAGCCAGTTTCTTAGATTCTGAACACTTCACAACCTCTACCCCTCTGCATCCATAAGCTAAGCCATTATCAGGTCATACATATCTTAATGATTTCGAGCGCCTCCTAAGGGGTCTCCTGGCTTCTCTTCTCTCCCACAATCTATTCTCAACACAACCACTCTAGTGATCCTGATAAATCTAAGCTGACTCAAAACTCTCCAATGCTAACTATCTCTCTCTGATGTACAGCCAAAGTCTTTACAGCAGCCTATGAGCCACTATATGATGTAGTCCTATTACTTCTTTGCTGTAATTTCCTATTATTCTCTATCTTGCTCACCTGCTCAAGTTGTACCAACTTTTTCCTGTACCTTGAATACACAAGGCAAGCTCACATCTGGGGATCTTGGCATTTGCTGCTCTCCTTATCTAGAACACCTTCCCCTCAGATATTCACATAGCTCACTCCCTTATGTGCTTCAGGATTTTTGCTCAAGTTTCACCTTAGTGAAACTTTCTCTGGCCTATTTAAAATTACAAATTCTCCAACTACCTTCTCTGATTTATTTCCAATAGTTTTTTACATGAGCAATTAATACACTATATATTTTAGTAATCATTTTGTTTCCTTCTCACCATTGGGATATAAGATCCACAACGGCAGAGATTTTTGTCTTGTTCACTGCTATATCCCATACCTACCACAGTCCCTGGCACATGAAAGGCATTCAACAGATGTGTCAACTAGTGAATGATTGAATATGAGTGGTTAGACCTGAGAGTTTATGATCCTATGAAATGTGGCTCTAGCTTCACATACCACATTCAATGTCTTACACTGTTGTTTTCCAACCTCTGCTGAAATCGTAGATAAAAGATGACAAAGCAGATTTGGGGTTTTGTTTTATTGCTTGGAGTTATCATTGCTTTTACTGTAGATCTAAAACAAGGCAAAATTCTTTGAAAATAAAGGACAAAAGAATCAATACCACTTGTCTTTAACCTTCGGCATTTTAATTATGATGTCTTGGTGTGAGCCTCTTTGGATTCATCTTGTTTGGGACTCTCTGAGCTTCCTACACTTATATGTCTATTTCCTTCACCAAGTTAGGGAAGACAAAGAGAGAATGTTAAAATAAGCAAAAGAAAATCAGTTAGTTACCTACAAGGGAACTCCCTTAAGACTGGCAGCTGATTTCTCAACAGAAACTCTGCAGGTTAGAAGGGATTGGCAAGATACATTCCAAGCGAAAAAAGCAAGGACCTACAACCAAGATAACTCTACCCAGTAAAGCTATCATTTTGAATTGAAGGACAAAGACCTTCCCAGACAAAAAAAGCTAAAGTTCATCAGCACCAAACCAGTATTATATGAAATGTTAAAGGGTCTTCTTTAAGAAGAAGATAAAAACTATAAACAATAAAATGGCAATAAACACATATCTATGAACAACCGAATCTAAAAAACAAAATAAATAAGCAACACAAAAACAGAATCACAGATACAAAATACATTTTGATGGTTGCCAGATGGGAAGGTAGTTGGGGCCATAGGTGAAAAAGGTAAAGGGATTAAGTACAAACTGGTAGTTTCAGAATAGTCATGGCGATATAAAGTACAGCATAGGGAATACAGTAGCCAAAAAACTATATAAGGGATGACCCATGGACACAGACAACAGTGTGGGGATTATCTGAGGGAGTGGGGGTGGGCAGGATGGAAGGGAGCAAAGGGGGAAAATTGGGACAACTGTAGTAGTATAAATAAAATATAATTAACAAAGAATCAATACTAAAATTAACACTGAATCAACATCGAAAAATATAAGTCAATACATTTATGGCTGGCTTAGAGAAAAATCTGATCTTTTAGCCTGGTGTTTTGATTTACCTATGCCATAGTCTTAAGAAATGCCTGCTCTGTCTCTTTAAAGATAGGGCTTAAAGAATTTGTTTTAGCACAACCTTGATCCTAAAAAATTCTAGAAAACTCATGGAAAATGTTAGGTGGGTATCTTTTTCCATTTTAAAATACTTCTCCTGATCTATTTTACTTCTAGGACAAAACTAAATCTAAAAAGCACTAGACCTAAAAGAATCTTTTGCATGAACAAGGCATGGTCTTTACACATAAACAAATGTACCCTGAATGGGATCCCACTAAGGAAGTAATTTGCCTTTAAAGTCTGCCCCAAAGGGACAAAACTTCTCTATGGGTTTGAATATTTTGCTGGTCTTCCATGTTGACTGCTGTTAAGGGCTGTTTACTACCAGAAACCGGCTGCCACTCAAATTCATTGGTGTTACTAATGTTCTTTCTCCCTTCCATCATTTCTTGAGGCCAAGAGATAAACGGAAAGACAGGGCTGAGAGACCATTGGAGTATTTTTAAGTTAACCATACTACTTAATAAATATGCCTGAAAGTACCCTCCTCTATAAAAGAGAATGCAATGAGTTCTAAAGTAATCTTTGAAAATATCATATCAAGGAGATGTTAAACAATTAATATGCTTGCCCTACTCAATACTACCTATGTGCACATACTTTGAGTTCCATCTTTCCCAGGGACTTCATCCCATTAGGCCTTCAAATCTGTTGTCTTTATAAAATTTAAAAAATTACTATCATCTTTAATGTAGAAAGTCTCAAATAAGAATATCTTAAGAGGACATACTTATAGTTTAAAACTGTAAACTTGCAGTGGATTAAATGTACATAATTATGGGTCTTTTTTCCCAGAGCTTCAGAAGTAGGTATAGTGCAAGAGGGAATTAAGAGGCCCAATGGGACTAAGGTAAGCTTGGGGATTTGTTAGACAGATGCTCACAGTAATCAGGTGCCAAGAGAGACAGATGAGGGTGCTTAGTGAGAAAGCAGGGAAGGTAGCTAACCATGGGGTCTAAACCACAGAGGAGAAGAATGTGAAGCCAAGAGAGGAAGCTGTCAGACTGGTAAATAAAACCTGGGGTCAAGCCATTAAAACGAGTGCACATTTGAACAGATGCCCAATGTAGAAAATTCAAGGAAAAATGCACTGTGTAGAACATCTCTCATTTTATTTATATATACTTTTAAGTGTATGGAAAATGTCAGGAAAGAAAAACTGAGAAAGTGATGTGAAACTGGGGGAAGAGCAGGATACTTAGTTTTCATTTTATGTTCTTCTGTACTGTTTATTTTATTATATGGTTATACAGTATTATTGTAAACCAGCTTAATTTTTCTAAAAGAGACCATTATTCTTTGTGTAGCAGAACAGATATAAAATAAGCCAGGGAATATGCAATACAGAAGGATAATAGGCTTAAAAGATACTATTATAGATTTAAAGGATAGAATAATTTAGCTTAGATTACTTTAACTGATGTCCTAAAAGTATGTCAAAGATGTTCCAAATACACTTTCAATGTTCAAAATAGAAAGGTTAGCTTCCCAAGAAATCAATGAAGAAGTCAAAGTAGTGCTGTATTTGCTAACACAGAAAATCTATGAACACTGTGTACAAAGACGGGAAGGAGATGTGGAGCAGCTGGGTCAACTTTTCATGACTACAGGCTGGGTTCTACGTCCCTGTGTAAGGTGAGGCGGGGCGGGGGAGGGGTCCTGAGCACTTTCCTTCAGGCTATCACCTTATCATTTATAATACTGGTTGTATGAATGTTTGTTAAGACAAACTTATCATGACATATCCTGAGAAGGAAGAGATCCTTCTAAACTATAACTTTAAGAAACTATTCCAAAATGCAAAAGAGAAATGAATTCCTCTTTAGCTATGAGAGCCCAGTTATCTCTGGATTTTCTATAAGGAAAAAAATGCGACTGAATAACATATAACAGTAAATACAAACCTTATATGGTGAAGGCTCAATTCTTTCCCCAAATAATACCTGACCAAGATTTTCAGATGGGCGTTTACCTTTAGATGCTTGGCAAAAGTCAAACCTGAGGGAAAAGATATTTAAGTTTTTAAAGATAAAAGGAAACAATGAAATGAACTCCTAGGCAATCCTGAGGGCAGATTAGGTACTAATCATTACAGTACCTCCAACAGGTGAGTAAGAAATATATTCATACTCCAAGTTCCAGGTCCCAAATCAACCCAAAACAAAAATCCCAAAATATCTGCAAATTATGCTTTAGAATGTTTTGATTTCTAAACAATACTTTTATTGAGATGTAAATTACAGGATTTTTTAAAATGATACATTATAATTTTTTGTCTATTTCAATAATAAAAGAATTTATATCCTTATTCTTCAAGTGAATTTTACATAACTTATTTCCTTTTGTCATAACTTTCTAATACAAAGCTTTACTTAATAAATATATGTTAATTTTCTGTGGGTTTCTGCCTCATCCGGATACACTGGACAATACATCCTAATGTGAGAAGCATGGCTAGGCAGACCCTCTGTGAATAGAGTGGTGAAAAAGTCATCACCAGTCAACCTTAAGCTTCTCTCTGTTAATTCCTTTGTATTACTAACCAGATTTTAATAAAGTTTTATTCAAACATTACAGCCTATTTTTAGCTTTGCTATTAAAAAACAGCCTGGCTGGCATAGCTCAGTGGATTGAGCAAGGGCTGCGAACCAAAGTGTCGCAGGTTTGATTCCCAGTCAGGGCACATGCATGGGTTGCAGGCCATGACCCCCAGCAATCGCAAATCGCACATTGATGTTTCTCTGTCTCTCTCTTTCTCCCTCCCTTCCCTCTCTAAAAACTAACTAAATAAACCTTAAAAACAAAACAAAACAACAACAAAAAAAACTAAGAGGCAGTTCTGTGTTCACTCTGGAATAATATGGGAGTACTTCATACCAGCATTGTGATGGCTACAGATTAGTTAGATTCTTAAGAGGAAGATGGTAAAAAACTGGGACTAGGAGGGCCCCAAATGAAGACTCTCCATCTATACTGGATATGAGAGATCCATTGGGTTTTCCCAGGAATATCCATAAAAATTTAAGGAGAAATGTTTATTTACATAGTAAAACAAAGAAAAACAAGAAAAAGCATTCAAGTATCCAATAGTTTAATATAAATTATGGTTCATCTATTCATAAATTTGTACTCTTTTCTCATACAAATTTAAGCATGTAAATCTTATAGGATAGTCTTACATTTTTGTGTACTTTTTTCCTACAGTAAACAAGTATTTTTTCTAAACTCTTAGATACCAGAGAAATTTAGAAGCCAACAAAAATTTAAGACCTATGTTTTACACACCATATGGTATACAACAATCAAATGAATAAAAGATATTAATGCAACATTTTTATAATACAAAAAATACAAATAATCAAATGTTCAGAAATAGAGACTCAATAAAATAAATGATACATGGACTATATACAATCTCCACAAAGGAATAAAAAACAGCTACTAAAAAGACTGAGGTAGTTGTGTATAACATGAAAAGATACCCACAACAGATTCAGTGAGAAAACCAAGATGCAAATCATATGTAATAGTATGAATCTATTTCACTTAAAATATATAAGTAAATGGGGTTATATGCACATTAGACTATGCAGATAAAAATGTAGGAGCAGATATTAAGTAATTATTTCTGGGAACCAATTATGTGGCACATAAGGATTTTCTTTAAAAATGTGTGGGCTTTTATTATTAAAAAATTTAAAGAAAACAAAAAGTTTTTTTATCCAGTTGAAAAAGGAAATCCATTGTTTTTAGTTCATGCTTCTACTGTATTACAAAGAGACATAAAAAGATCACATTTTACATTATAGTAATAAAGAATGCCTATTTAAAAATGTTTTCAGGTTCTGAACATTTTTTTTATTCTCAAGTTTACATCAACATTGATGTTTATTCATAAAAAAATTTTTATTTACTTATTTTGAGAGGGGAAGGGAGGGAAAAAGAGAGGGAGAGAACACTGATGTATATAGATGTGCAAGAGAAACATCAATCAGTTGCCTCTCACACACCCCTAACCAGGGACCTGGTTTACAACCCAAGCATGTGCCCTGATAGGAATTGATTGACATGGCAACCTTTTGGATTGCAAGCCGATGCTCAATGTACTGAGCCACACATTTTTAAAAGCATGTGAATTTATTCGTAACTGTGGGACATACAAAGCTCTAAATGTATGAAATTCTGATGAGTCATATAAAGTTTTATATAAAAACCAAGCTGAAAAACTTACGCTGTATATTCATAAGGAAGAACTGACTCTACTGAGTCAAGCCTGTTCACGAACAGCTCTATTTCAGCCTGAAAATAAGGAAACACAGAATCAGAATATAAACAACGGAAGATCAAAAACTTCAGTGTGCTTGGGATTTAAAAAGAATTTGACATGTTTGAAATGTGAAATTTTATGATATCCAACCCACTTTAAACAATTCTCTTATAAAACCACTTGCCAAGTGGGATTTAGATGCATTCAAATTACACCAATGCTGAATTATTAGAGGTGCAAATGTCTCCAATATTTTCTAAATGCTTTTTAAGTTCTAAAATTTCTAAAACATTTAATATTTTAACTAAATAATTTATCACATCAACATATATATTTATAAAAACCTGGTTTTCAAGCTCAGTATTTCATTCTGAAGCACAAAAACAATATTTACTTTTAAAACAATTTTTAAAAACATTCTTGTTGCAATGAAGACATGCTTCCAAGTAGTAAAACACTTTCTATATCAACTATACTAGAAAAACAATCCCATGCACTTGTGTACTCTTAAGCAGACAGGAAATGGACAATGACAAAATGAGCTAACTGTGGAGGGCTGCTTTGATCAATTTAAGAGTGCTGATACATGGTAATAACAGCAAAGAAATTTACAAGATCAAGTTCAGCAATGGGGAAGGGGAAAAAAGGCTGTATCAGCCTTCTAGGATATATAGGCTAATTTAAAACTACACCTTCCCACTGAAGCTCCCAAAATTTCTCCAGTGTATACTTCAGGTTCTTTTTCTCCACAGAACTCAAAACACACACCCACTTTCTCATTAGGGGCTCACTGTTATTCATGACAGAATTCTTTACTTGAAGAGGACAGTAAATAATTTGTGTGCTAATCAAAATCAACTAAAAATGAACTCTAATATTTGGGACAACTTATTTTTATAGAGTTAGCCTGCTAAGGCTGCTTCTGGAGTCTGTGATTGATCATGAGGCTCCCTGGAATGGCATAGAGCCACACTTGTCATTTTGATCTCATTCACTAGTGTTACCAGCTGTCGTCTTATACTTGTTAACATTCCAAAGCCAGACAAGATGCTTGATGTATTACACAAAGAACAAATAATACAACACCATGGGAAAAGCAGCAAAACATAACAGGGAAAAGAACAGATTCTGGGGCCAGTTTGCCTGGGTTCAAATTCCAGTTCTACCATTTATTACTAATGTGACTTTGGTCAAGTTATTTAACAATCTCAGTTTCCTTATGGGTGCTTCAATTTCCTTATCAGCAAAATGGGGATAACAGTATCTACTTCATTGGGGTATTGATGAGCTAACACTTACAAAGTACTTTGTTAATAATAAATAAAACCAAATACATTTTATAATATTCACAATTGTGAATGCCCAAACTAAACTGCTTATGGCCCATGGGTATCCAACCTGTGCCCTACGGACCACATGCAGCCCAGGATGGCTAGGAATGTGGCCTGACAAAAATAACCATAAATTTACTTAAAACATTACAAGATTATTTTGTGATTACATGTCACAATGTATTTAATGTGTGGCCCAAGACGACTCTTCTAGTGTGGCCCAAAGATACCAAAAGGTTGGACCCCCCTGGTTTTGCCATAAAATGCTTATTCAATATTCATGTTGTGAGACAGAAGACACAACACTAGCCTTTATATAGAGAGCTGAGAAGAGTATCATATGTAAATTTCTGTGTGTTCATACCTCAAACACACAGAAAATGTCTCTCTTTGTATGAAATACTCAAGACTATATCATTGGTCATTTTAGCTAAAAAGATAAGCATTACAATATGCCTGAATACAAATATATTCTGTGGCTCTAGGGAGAGAACTAAAGGTACAGCCGCCAGGATCCAGGATCCCTGTGCTGGGTCATTCCCCATACTGCAGGAGCCATCTTCCCCAGGTAGACCACTCCCCTCCAAGTAGCATCAGCCAGTAGTGAAGGAATAGACCTGACTCAGGAATTACTCTGCCCCACCCTGTGGTACTTAAGCCTTGTTGCTGAGGAGTACAGTGGGAAGATTTTCACTCTTTAAGCCTAACAGAAAGTCTATAGGTCAATCTCTGGGAACTGTGAGACTTTAGTTGACCCTATCCAGGCCTGGTGCTGGTTAAAGCCAGCCTTGGTGCACAGCCTGGTTCTTCCTGCACCCACCCAAGCTCAACGGGAGCCACAAACTGTAGATCGCTGATAGCTCTAAATAGGCTGCCCTGGGCCTGTCACAGGCAGGGTGTGACATAGGCCTACACCACAGTCTGTAAGATCTACCTAACACATAGAAACACAAAACAGCAGCCAAATTTGGAAGAAAAAGAAACAGGCCCCAAATGAAAGAATGAGAGAACTCTCCAGAAGGAGAACTTAGATGAAATGGAGAGAAGAAATCTATCAGAGACTTTAGAGTAACAATTAAAACACCACTCAACAGCATGAAAAAAGACAGAAACCATTACAAAGGGCCAGTCAGAAATAAAGAACACAATATGTGAAATAAAAATATACTGGAATAAACAATACATTAGAGGGAATAAATAGTAGGTTAGATGGAGCAGAGGACTGAATCAGTGATTTGGAAGACAACATAGAAAAAAATATCCAAGCAATGCAGCAACAACAACAACAAAAAAATGAAAAAGAATAAGGAGAGCTTAAGAAATCTTGGGGACAAAATGAAGCGTAACAACATCTGTAACATGGGAATACCAAAATGAGAAGAGACAGTACAAGGAATTGAGAACCTTTTTGAAGAAATAATGACCTAAAACATTCTGGTGAAAGAAAGACACACATACCCAGGAAGCTCATAAGAGTTTCAAATGATTTGGATCCAGAGATACTTGACTACGCTGAGATACATCATAATTAAAATGAAAGGCTTCAAGACAAGGAGAGAATGCTAAAAGATTCAAGGGAAAAAGAGGTAGTTACATACAAGGGAACAACAATTAGTCTGTATTCTGATTTCTCAACAGAAACATTACAGGCCAGAAGGGAGTGGTGTGAAATACTCAAGGTGATGAAAAGCAAGCACCTACACCAAGTCTACTTTACCCAGCAAGGCTATCATTTAAAATTGAAGGAGGAACAAGGAGCATCTCAGAGAAAACGAACAAACAAAAAAAAGAAAGGAGTCTGTTAACACCAAATGTGTACTTCAACAAATGTTAAAGGGATTGCTTAAAGAAGAAAAAGAGAAAAAAAAAAGCGGAGGAAAATACTCTAAACATAAAAGGCACTAAATATGTCTCTAGCAATAATCACCTTAAATGTAAATGGCTTAAATGATCCAACCAAAAGACAGAGGGACTGAATGGGTAAGAAAACAATACCCATATACATGTTGCCTCCAAGAGTCCCACCTCAGATTGCAAGATACACAACAACTAAAAGTAAAAGATATTTCATGCAAATGGAAAGAAAAAAAAGCTGGAGTAGCAATAGTTATATCCTACAAAATAGACTTTAAAATCAAGGCAAAGAAGGACACTATATAATAGTTAAGGGAACAACCCAACCAGAGGATATAACCCTATAAACATTTATACACCCAACACAGGAGCATCTAAATATGTAAAGCAAATCTTGATGGACATAAAGGGAAAGAGATTGACAGAAAAACAACCAACACTCCAGGATTTTAACACCCTATCAACGGCAATGGACGGATCCTCCAGACAGAAAATCAACAAGGAGAGAGAGGCCTTAAACACACTAGATTAAATGGATTTAACTGATGTCTTCAGAGCATCTCATCCCAAAAGAATATACATACTTTTCAAGTGCAGATGGTACGTTTTCTAGGATAGACCCCATGTTACGACACGAAACAAGTCTCAATAAATCTAAGAAGACTGAAATCATACCAAGCATCTTCTCTGACCACAATGCTATGAAACTAGAAATCAATCATAAGAACACTGAAAAACACACAAAGACATGGAAGTTAAATAACATGTTATTAAACAATGCATGGGTCAACAACGAAATCAAGGAAGAAATCAAAAGATACCTTGAAACAAATGAAAATGAGAACACACAATCCACAATCTGTGGGACACAGGGAAAACAATCCTAAGAGGGAAACCCGTCACATTACAGGCTTATCTCAAAAAAACAAGAAAAAGCTCAAATAAACAATCTCAGTTTATACTTAAAGGGACTGGAAAAAAGGATGATAGAGCCCCAAGTGAGTAGAAGGAAGAAAATGATAAAGATTAGAGCAGAAATAAATGAAAGAATCTAAAACAACAACAACAAAAGATCGATGAATCTTAAGAGCTGGTTCTTTGAAAAGATAAACAAGATTGACAGACCTTTAACTGGATTCATCAACAAAAAAAGAAAACAAAATCAGAAATGAAAAAGGAGAAATAACAACTGACACCAAAGTAATACAAAGGACTGTAAGGAAATATTTCGAACAAGGACATGCCAACAAACTGGACAACCTGGATGAAATGGATAAATTCCAAACATACACTCTTCCAAAACTAAATCAGGAAGAATCAGAGAATCTGAATAGACAGATCACACCAAGTGACACTGTAGCAGTAATCAAAAACTCCCAACAAACAAAAGCCCTGACCAGATGGCCCCACAGGGAAATTTTACCAAACATTCTGGGAAGAACTAACAACTCAGCTTCACAAACTATTTCAAAAAATTCAGGAGGAGGGAAGGCTCCCAAGCTCACTTTACGAGGCCTGCATTATCCTAATTCCAAAACCAGATAAAGACATTACAACAAAAGAAAATGATAGGCAATATCCCTAATGAACACAGATGCTAAAATCCTCAACAAAACATTAGCAAATCCAATACAGCAATGCATCAAAAAGATCATACACGGTGATCAAGTGGGATTTATTCCTGGGATGCAAGGTTGGCACAACATTTGCAAATCAATAAATGTTTTTCACCACATAAACAAAATAAAAGATAAAAACCACCTGATCAAATCAATAGGTGCAGAAAAAGCATTTAACAAAATCCAGCACCCATTTATGATAGAAACTCTCAGCAAAGTGGGAATAGAGGAAACATACCTAAACATAACAAAGGCCGCATATGACAAACACAATACCACCATCACATTCAATGGGCAAAACCTATGAGCGCTCCCCTTAAGATCACGAACAAGACAGGGATGTCTGCTTTTACCTCTCTTATTCAACATAGTACTGGAAGTCCTAGCCAGAGCAATCACACAAGAAGAAGAAGGCATCCAAATTGGAAAGGAAGAAGTAAAACTGACTTTATTTACAGATGACATGATACTGCACAGAGGGAACCCCAAAGATTCCACCAAGAAACTACTAGGACTGGTAAGTAAATTCAGCAAAGAAATGGGATACAAAATTAATATCCAGAAATCAGCTGCATTTTTATATGCCAACACAATTTCCCTAACAAAAAGGGAAATTAAGAGAACAATCCCATTCACAATTGCTTCATAAAAATAGAATACCTGGGAATAAACCTAACCAAGGATGTAAAAGACCTGTACTGGGAAAATTATAAGACACGGAAGAAAGAAACTGAAGAAGATCCACTAAGTGGAAGTACACAACCATTTTAATGGAAGGAAGAATTAACATAATTTAAATATCCATACTACTTGAAACAATCTATAGATTCAACACAATTGGTATCAAGATTTTAATGATATATTTCACAGAACTAGAACAAATATTTCAAAAACTTGTATGGAACCAGAAAAGGCAACAGCAATACTGAGAAAGAAGAACAAAGTTGGAAGAATCACAGTACCTAATATGGAACTATACTCTAAGGTCACAGTAATCAGAACAGCATGGCACTGGCTTAAAAATGGACACATAAATCAATGGAACAGAATAGAGAGCCCAGAAATAAGCCCACACATTTATAGTCAACTAATATTCAACAGAGGAAGCAAGCAGATAAAATTTGCTAAAGATAGTTTATATAATAAATGCTGTTGGGAATACTGGACAGACACGTGCAGAAAAATGAAACTTTCTTACACCACACACAAGGATAAACTCAAAATGGATCAAAGACTTAAATGTCAGACCTGAAACCATACAAATCATAGAAGAATATTGGGAACTGCCCTACCTGGTTTCAGAAGCTGTAACCCTCTATGGGTAAGGCTGAGTAAAAAGACCTTGGGACCATAAGCCACTAAGGAGACAAAACTTATCCTCCCTGTAGGGGTGCAGTCTCTGCCCCCTTTACTTCACCCTTCTTGGCCCCTGGAGGATGGCTGGTTAGCCAATGATGGTTAAGATTCCTTAAGGAAGGAACCACCTAAGACAGGCACAGTCATGAAGGGGCTATCAGGGAAGGACTTAGGGGATTATGGAGGAGGGACAAAAAGCCCTCACCCCTCAGCTTTACCATAGCCTGAGTCCTCATTCTATCTGTAAGAAGTCTCCTAATCTCTTGGCTGCCTTACTTCCCCCACCTGACTTAAGCCTAAAACAATGCTGAAGGGGGGTGTAGCCCTGTGCCAGGATGGGTGGTTCCTGGCTGGGAGAGTGGGTAGGGGGTGGGAGGGTGGGCACGGCAATCAGGCCTAAGAGAGAATGCATAAAATCCTATGAAACCTGCTTTGCTAAGAATGCCTTCAATTTAAATGTCAAGGGTGCAAGCACAAAAGGAGTTTGTTTCCCAGTTTTATGGCCCTTTGGTGTTACTCTATCTATCCGACCCTGACTCAGAATAAGCCCTTATAATTCTGTGAATGTTATCTATTCCTTGATCATTACTGTGTGACAATGACTGATGAGCTTTACATATATGCCCTGTATTCCTATGCAAACTAAACCCAATAAAAGCCCATTAGAAATAGGCTCAAGGACTTTCTCCTCTGAGAGACTGGTCAGTCTTTCCTCCCCAAACAGATCCTGTCTTGGTAGACTTATTCTTATCTGCAGCAGCATGGGAACTCTGTGGGCAGAGCCCCCCCACAGAAGAAAACATGGGCAGCAAAATCTTGGACAATGCTCATAGCAGTATTTTATCAGAAATCTCTCCCCAGGCAAGGAAAACAAAAGAAAAAAATAAACAAATGGGACTACATCAAACCAAAAAGGTTTTGCACATTAAAAGAAAACATCAACAAAATTAAAAGACAACCCACAGAATGGGAGAACATATTCACCAATACATCTTATAAGGAGTTATATCCAAAGTTTATAAAGAACTTACAAAACTCAACACCCTCCTCCCAGAAAACCACCAAAAACACAACCCAACTGAAAAATCGGCAATGGGCAAAGGACCTCAATATATACTTCTCCATAGAGAACATACAGATGGGCAACAGACATATGAAAAGATGCCCAACATAACTAATCATCAGAGAAATGCAAATTAAAACTACGATGAGATATCATCTCATGTGTCAGAATGGCTATCATCAATAAATCAACAAACAGGTGCTGGTGAGGATGTGGAGAAAGGGGAACCCTTTTGCACTGTTGGTGGAAATGCAGATTGGTGTAGCCACTACGGAAAGCAGTATGGCAATACCTCAAAAAATTAAAAGCAGATCTGCCTTTTGACCCAGTGATCCCACTTCTGGGACTATAACTGAAGGAACCCAAAATACTAACTTGAAAGAACATAAGGACTCCTATATTCACTTACAATAGCCAAGATTTGGAAGTAGCCCAGGTGTCTTTCAGTAGATGAGTGGATAAAACAACTATGGGACATTTATATAACATAATACTACTCAGCTGTAAACAAAGAAAAAAATTTTACCCTTTGTGTCAATATGTATGGACCTGGAGAACATCATGCCAAGTGAAATAAGCCAGTCAAAAGATTGTACTTTCAGGGATCATTTCTATAATTTGTTACTAGAGAAGTTTCTCTGATCGTGTAGAGCACCCCAAACCATGAGGAGGAGGTGTAGTGTTCTCTCCTTAGTGTGAAGCCAGCTTTTGGTGTTGCTTTTACAACTGCCAATAGCCATTGATGATCATTCTTCTCTTCCTTTGGAAGAGTAAGAGGGAAAGAATGCAGTCTGAGTGGTAAAAGAAAAAAAAAAAAGAAAGCCAGTCAGAGAAAGACATATACCATATGATTTCACTTGTACGTGGAATCGAATAAACAAACTGAACTTACAAGCTAAATATATACAGACCCATAGACAGAGAGAAGGATGACAGCTCAGGGGTGTGGGGATAAGTTAAGGGGTAGAGGGTTTGAACAAAAAAGGAATCACGGACATGGACAACAGTGTGGTGATTGATTGGGGAAGGGGGGTATAAGGGGAATAAATGGTAATGGAAAAAATACAATAAAAATAGGAAAAAATAAACAGCATGATGATATATAACCAAAAAAGAGAGAGAGACAATATAATATAGCCAATGCTGGAACATTATGAGTTTGAACTGTGCAGGTCTACTTACATGGTGATTTTTTTCAAATAAATACTGTAAAATGTAAAATCATTAAAACTTAACTTTAATTACATTTACATAGTTATAGGAGGGTAATGGCTACTATATTAGCATAGTAACAGAAAAGTATAAAGTGCTGCTCGGTACCTCTTCATACATATAACATTTTACTCATATCACTACAATATTTTATTTACCTCAAAAAATAATTCTAATATTGTTAGTGTAACCCAGGGGTTTAGCAAACTTTTTATTAAAGGTCCAGGGAGTAAATATTTCAGGCTTTACAGGACTCCAGTCTTTGCTACTGTAGGGCAAAAAGCAGCCATAAGCAGTATATAAGTGAATAAAGATGGTTGCATCCTAATAAAACTCTACTTATTGGTACTGAAGTTTGATGTTCTTAGTTTGAGGATCATACAAAACAATAAGCACGCTGGATTTGATTCCTAGTCCATCCTCGACCTATGTTTGCCAGACATTTTTCTTTAAAAAATTTTGTTTTAATTTCTTGATTTGAGCAGGGGGAGGGAGGGAGGGAAGGAGGAAGGGGAGAGAGAAACATCAGTTTATTGTTCCACTTTATGCATTCATTGGTTGCTTCTTGTACGTGCCCTGACTAGGGATTTAACACAGGACCTTGGTGCATTGGGACAATGCTCTGACCAATTTAGCTAAACCACCAAGGCCCTACATATTTTTCAATGTTCTTTAAATTCACATCTTAGAAAACCTAAAGCAGGGCACTGGGCTAAAGACCTGATGCTATGTGAAAAATTTTAGGACACTGTTCAAGGGCATATCAATTTATGGTTAAAGTTTCTTCCATTTCTTCCCAAATGATGAGGCAATATTTCCGTAGCTTATGATGCTTTCTCTGAAGTTTCATGGTACATCTTCTGGCTATAGGATTATAAGACAGAGAGAAAACCATATTCTCATTTTCTGACTTCTCCCATATCTCCTCTTAATCTTTCAAAACAGAAGGGTCTTAATTTTTTGAATCACCTATCTCCTTGATCACACCAGCTGCTTTTCTCAGGACCTTGCCCTACCCTCATACCCTTCTTAAAAGGTATGTGATTGAGAATTACAAGAAAAATGAAAGGTTTAGACACTATAGTTTTATACATGTATAGAATGACAGTGTTACTTTTCATTAGCCTTTCTGGCCATAAGTATAATTCTTCAATGACAATCTTCATCTCTTACTTATGTTCTACTGGATTGGCCAAAAAGTTTGTTCAGGTTTTTTCTGTAAACTGTCTCTAGTAACACTTAGTTGTCTTTAACTTCACTGGAAACAATTTTGTTAGACTGTATTGTGACAACTGCCATATCAGTGTGCATTAAAAAAACTGATTAAAATTGGTGAATTTTTGTGTAGCCATTTTAATATTGAAGATGGATGATAATAGGCAACATTTTTGGCATATTATGCTGTATTGTTTCAAGAAAGGTAAAAATGCAACTGAAATGCAATAAAAAATTTGTGCAGTGTATGGAGAAGGTGCTGTGACTGATCAAACATGTCAATGATGGTTATCAAAGTTTAGTGCTGGAGATTTCTCACTGGATAATGCTCTACAGTCAGGTAGACCAGTTGAAGTTGATAATCATATCAAGACATTAACTGAGAACAATCAACATTACCATGCAGGAGATAGGTGACACACTCAAAATGTCCAAATCAAGCAATGAGAATCATTTGCACCAGCTTGTGTTAATTGCTTTGATATCTGGGTTCCACATAAGGTAAGTGAAAAAAAAAAAACCTTCTTGATCATATTTTTCCATGGTGATTCTCTACTTACACGTAACAAAAATGTTCTGTTTTCAAAACAAATTGTGACAGGCAATGACAAGTGGATAATTTACAATAATGTGGAACCGAAGAGATTGTGGGCAAGCAAAATGAACCACCACCAACCACACCAAAGGCCAGTCCTCATTCAAAGAAGGTGATGTTGTGTATAAGGCAGGATTGGAAGGGAGTCCTCTATTATGAGCTCCTTCTGGAAAACCAAACAATTAATTCCAACAAGTAATCCCAGTTAGACCAACTGAAAGCAACATGCGACGAAAAGAATCAGGAATTAGTCAACAGAAAATGCATAATCATCCATCAGGGTAATGCAAGACCACATGTTTCTTTGATGACTAGGCAAAAACTGTTACAGTTTGGCTGGAAGTTCTGACTCAATGCCATATTCACCAGGCATTTCCATTTATTTCATTCTTTACAAAATTCTCTTAATGAAAACAATATTAATTCCCTGGAAGGCTGCAAAAAATACCTGGAACAGTTCTTTGCTTAAAAAGATAAAAAGTTTTGGGAAGATGGAATCATGAAGTTGCCTGAAAGATGGTAGAAGGTAGTGGAACAAATGGTGAATACGTTGTTCAAAAGTTCTTGGTGAAAAAAAAAGTCTTGAGACTTCCAGTCAAAATGGATGCAGGTAGACATGTTTTATCTCCTTGTGCAACCACAGAAAGAATTACAACCAGATCTCAAAACTAATAACACCCAGTCAGAAAATTGAGCTGCATGGAAGTCCGACAACCAAGGATTTAAAGAAGCCACATTCATCCAGGTTAGGAGGGGCAGAGTCTCAGAGACGTAGTGTGGTACAGCAAGGTAGTGGCAAAACAGACAGTCCCTCATTCACATATGGTAGATGAAAATTGGGAGGGATACCTTGGGAGAGAGCAATCCTAGCCCAGGGTCACACCATACAGCCCAGGGTTCCAATAACAAAAAGACAATCTCCATTACCTCTGGCTGTAAAAACCAGTGAGGGTTGGGGTAGCAGAAGAAACTGCCACATTTTTGAGGCGTAAAGGGTCCACATGGTTATAGAACATATGCAAACCCATCCACTGTGGGATTCACCACCAGCGCAGCAGCTGGAAGGGTGCCAGTCACACACAGGAAGGGGGTGAAGTGACTGGAAACAGGAAGAGTGCCAGGTGAACCTCCAGAAGCCAGGGGGCAAGACTGTCCTCTCTCTGAGCCCTCCTCCCCACACATCAAGAAAGCAGTGAAGTGGGCTGCCTCCCTCTAACAATTATCTAAGGCTCCACCCCACGAAATTTACAGGTGCCTTTTCTACCGTAGGCCACACCACTAAGACAGGGAATAAAACCAGCTCTAACACACTGAAACAAACACAGGGCAGCTGCTAAGTTGAGGAGACAAAGAAATATGGCCCAATTGAAAGAATAGAACAAAACCCCAGAAAAACAACTATGCGAAACAGAGATAGCCAACCTATCAGATGTACAGTTAAAAACACTGGTGGTTAGGATGTTCAGAGAATTCATTGAGTATGGCAAAAAAATAATAATAATAATAAAGGAAGAAATGAAGGTTACATTTAGTGAAATAAATAAAAATCCACACAGAACCAACAGGGAAGGGAAGGAAGCCTGGATTCAAACCAACAATTTGAAACATAAGGAAGACATAAATATTCAAACAGAACAGAAAGGAATAAGAAATCAAAAAAACGAGGATAGGCTTAGGAACCTCAGGGACATCTCCAAATGTGCCAACATCTGAATCATGGGGTTCAAGAAGGACAAGAGGAACAGCAAGAAATTGAAAACTTATTTGAAAAGATAATGAAAGAAAACTTCCCTAATTTGGTGAACGAAATAAACATACAAGTCCAGGAAGCACAGAGAGTCGCAAACAAGTTGGACCCAAAGAGGAACACACCAAGGAACATCATAATTTAAATATTATGAAAGGCAAGGGCCTACATCCAAGATTGCTCTATCCAGCAAAGCTATCATTTAGAATGGAAGGGCAAATAAAGTGCTTCCCAGACAAGGTAAAGCTAAAGGTGCTCATCATCACCAAGCCATTATCACAGGAAATGTTAAAAGGACTTATCTAAGAAAAAGAAGATCAAAACCATGAACATTAAAAAGGCAACAAATTCACAACTATCAACGACTGAATCTAAAAAACAAACAAACAAAAATGAAGGAAACCACCAGAACAGGCACAGAATCATATGGAGATCAATTGGAGGGGTATCATCTGGGAGGGGGAAGGGGAAGAAAGGTCAAAATGGTGCAGGGAGTAAGAAGCATAATTGGTAGGAACAAAATAGACAGGGTAATGTTAAGAACAGCATAGGAAATGGAGAAGCCAAAGAACTTACATGCACAACCCATGAATATGAACTAAGGGCGGGGGGGGGGGGGCACTGCCGGAGGGAAGGGAGGTACCAGGCAGAGGTAGGCAAAGGGAGAAAAATCGGGACAACTTTAATAGCATAATAAATAAAATATACTTAAAAAAAAAGTATTTTACTCTACCTAGCTGGTTTGGCTCAGTGGATTGAGTGCCAGCCTGCAAACCAAAGGGTCACAGGTTCGATTCCCAGTCAGGGCATATGCCTGGGTTGGGGCCAGATCCCTAGTAGGGAGTGCGTGAGAGGCAACCATACATTGATGTTTCTCTCCCTTTCTTTCTCTCTAAAGATAAATAAATAAAATCTTTCAAAAATTTCACACACACAAAAGTCTTACTCTAAATTTGAACAAATTTTTTGGTCAATCCAATATAAGCAATACCTTAGAGCTCATCATCTCAAAAATATAGTTGTTGTTTTTC